GGAGGACCTCACGCCTTCCCTCTTGCTGTGTCTCTGCTGAGACATGGGGAAGAGTTTTGGTTTCTTTTTAATTTTCCTGGTGGCTGCAGGCTGCTCTGTGAGTGGGCATGAAAAGAAGCTGCTATTGAAAATTATTTTTGCCATTGCAGATTCAAAGCTCTAGAGGTTTTATGAAGATTTCTGCTCATGAACATCTTCAAAAGCCCAGGCTGGAAAACAGAAAGAAAACAAATACATGTTTTTGCTTAATTTATTTAGGGAGAGTTTCAGTGAAAGAAGCTCCAATAAATTATTTGGGTGAGACAGAAGAATTTGGTCTCAACTTTTCATCTTTTACACCTATAGTGACTGCAACAAACTCCTCTTTGTGTACGGTGGGACTAGCAGGGCTGGACAGTACCTTGCAGCTCCTTGGCTCAAGGATTTCTGCCTTCAGGCAGGTACCCCGATAAATTAAATCATTCTAGCTGTCCCTCACTTACTTTGGGCAGTCAAAGATTGGATATGCAAGCTTTAAAAAAAATAAAACCCAAACCAAGAAACCCAGTACGATTCTGAGTTTAAGTAACATAGAAGGTGAGTCCTGGTGGCAGTCCAAAGACACTGGGAGCACTGGGAGAGCTGGCTTCACTATAGAACAAACAGACACAGAAAATGGTTTGGGGGCCACAAAATTTTCTTTTAAAGAGTGTTCTCTGGCTTATTCAGGGGGAAAATAGAGAATCTTTACAAGTTTGTTTGTGTTTGCATTGGATTTTGGTTTTTTTTTTTTTTTTTCATTAAAGAATAGCACTTCAACATCTCCATGGCAGAAGGAGTCCACTGGTTCTTCAGAAACATTCAAATCTGAAGGGACATCCTTCTATAAGGGTAAGGATGGATAGTTGGTATTTAACAACATGGCCTCCTGTGGGATGTCCTGGATTCCTCAAAATGCACCTTCTTACTACTACATAAACCAGCTAATATAAGATGTTACCTCAGCTTGAAAATCTTGCTCTCCTGACCACCTAAGGAAACACAACAAAGGAGCCAATAGTTCCATCAGTTTGAACTAGGAAAGCTGAAGCATGTGTGAACATGAGAGAGAAGACCTGTTTTCTCAGAAGGCCAAACGTTACAACAGATTCTTCATACAATTGCTAGATGAAGGTCCTAGCCAGTTTTCGGACAGAGCTAAAAAATAACTTGATGGAAGGCAGCTTGATCCAAGATGCAAGTCCGCCCATTTCTCTGGCCTCTTGAGGTTCCTCTGAATGGCAGCACACCCATCTGGTCTGTCAATCACTCCTCCCAACATTTTGTCATCTGCAAACTCACTCAAGTGCACTCTGTCCCATTGTCCAGATCATTATTCAAGACGTTAAACAGTATTAGCCCCAGCATCACCTCTGTGAGTACACCAGTGACTGGCCTCCAGCTGGATTACAACTCTGTGCCTAGCAGCTCAGCCAGCATTTAGTCCACCTTACAGTTGATTTATCTAGACCTTACTTCATCAGTTTCTGTGAGGATGTTATGTGAGACAGCATCAACAGCCTTTCTGAAGTTAAGATTAACAGCAGCCACCGCTCTCCCCTCATCCACTTCGACAGTCACCTGGTTGTAGAAGACTATCTGTTTGGTATGGGATGATTTACCACTTCACAAATCCATGCTGACTACTCCCAATCACCTTCTTGTTTTTAACATGTATGGAAATGATTTCCAGGATCAGTTGCTCTGTTACCTTCTCAAGGATCAAGATGAGGCCAACCATCCTATAGTTCCCTGGATCTCCCTTCTTGCCCTTCTCAAAGGCAGAGGTGGCATTTGCTTTCCTCCCAGCCTCAAGAACCTCATCTATCACCAGGGGCTTTCAAAGGCAATCAAAAGTGACATCAGCTCCCTCTACAACTGTGGGTGCATCCCATCAGGCCCCCACGCATCTGTATGTCCAGCTTGTTCCCTAATCTGATACTCCTTCACTGAGGGTAAGTCAGTCCTCCTTGCTGCAGTCTTCCCCCCTGGTCTCCAAGGCGTGATGGCTGGACTTGCCAGTAAAGACTGAGGCAAAAAAGGCACTAAGAACCTCAGCCTTTTCCATATCCATTGCCATTAGGTCTCCTGCCCCATTCAGCAACAGACCCACATTTTCCCTACTCTTTCTTTTTCTGCCTATGTACTTGTAGAAACCCTTCTTACTGAGGTTTTTTTCCGTTGTTCTATGGTCCTGCGTGCCTTTACCCTCTCTATTGGGAAGAAGAATGAGTAAAACAAGCAAAGCATCTACTTCCCACAGGAAAATAAGTCTGCTAATCTGGGTTTCTTCACAGTGTGTCAGGGCTGGAAACACCAGACTCGGAAGGGAATCAGCACCCTGACTGCAAATGGGAGGAAGCCAAGTGCTGGGCACTCTGTCCTGAGTATTGCAAATTGGCTAACTAGAAAACGAGGCAGTCAAACATACTAACTGTCTATTAAAATTGTGCCTTAATTGTGCTTCAGTAAACTCAAACTCTAGATTGGACATAACATTAATTTCACTATTTCACAGAGCCTTCTGGCAAATTATTCAAATTTAAGTATCTTTCTGATCTTTTGATGGAAAGCTTTATGTATGTTTTTTATATATATATATATATATGCTTACAAGCACACACACCATATATTTACACACACAACAGTGCCCTTTCAATAGGGACATTTTCTCACACTCACTGTCTGGTTAACACACAGGAGTCACAGTATTATTTTTTTTCCCCATGTACAAGCAATACCACTACATAGCAAATTCAGTCACTGCTAGCTTTTCGATGACTCCCAGTTCTAAAACCATTAATCTTCTATAGCATATATTAATGTAACATTTATAATCATAAAGAGTTTGGAAACAAGGGTTTTGAAAATTTTCCAAAATGTCTGACAACACGCCAGAGATAGCAATCTGACCTAAATAACCAGGCCAGTACTTTTACTATCAAAATGAGGCAGAACATAAGGACAGATGGCACCCAGTTGCATTTTGAATGCATTGCTGCACAGACTGGTATCAGACATCCAACGGGCAGGGGATACCAGGGCTAATTTGATGTTGTGCTGGTTGTGTTCTTTGTAATTCAGTGACTTCTCCTGACTGCTGTCCTCAGGGTAACCACTCCAATCCAGAATCCTGCCTCTTCATGGCAGGCTCTGCTCTCTTGGGTGGTTAACCAGACCTTTGTAAACCAGAGACTTCCCTAGTTGCTCTGCATTTGGAAAGATGACCTGGAAATGGGTGGGATAGATCAAGATTGTTACTAAGGGTAAGATGAGCACCTCACTTGCTGTGGCTAGCTTCTGGGCAGTCTTTAGAGTAAAAAAGCAAATGACAGATAGAAAGGCCTAATTTCCTTAAGTGCTGCCTAGGCTGCTATTTTCTTAGATATAAAGAAAGCAAGAAAAACATAAAAGAAAAATGAAAAAATTACTAAAATCTTCACACTGGCAGGAAGAAAGCTTTAGTAAAGCAGTTTCCTAAATGCCATGGGAAGAACGCTTTGCAATGGAGTTGAATTGCCTGACCTACACATTACCACACTAGCTCCTTCCAGCATTTCACCCCAAAATTATTTCTGCTTACCTATAAAGATAGGCATTTTCTTTCTATTACATTAAAAGAATCATTATACAGCACAAATTCTACTAATAATACAAATTGAACATGATCATGACCAGTAGTCATCGATATGATGATGAAATGGTTAGTAATAAATTCTGAACTCAATATTGAATATTAACAATCTCCTGCAAGTCCAATTGCATATGGTTTCAGAAAATGCAGAAACAAACAAATTAAAAACTTTGAGATAAAAAAGGCAATCAAGGGCAGAGGTGGATGGTACTTCTCAATTTCAGCCCAAGCTGAGGGTTAAATTGAGTTATCTAATGACTAGTCACCCTGCTTCCTTTCCGTTACACACAGCATTTAGCAGCTATGCGGTGTATTTCTGGAAAGGACACATCAGGGAAGCCTGTAGCTGTTGACAATTTGCATATATCTTTAGGGGGCAATAAACACAAAGCCCTGAAAGACAGCGGTTAAGTTTCATTTATTAAGAGGATCCACCCACTTCAAAAATAACACGTGAGTACCGTAAGATTAATTTACTGTAAGACTGAAATAATTTTTTCTTACCGATACAAAAAAAAATGGTGGCATAGCAAGTTACAGCATCTCTTCAAAAGTGGGACCCAACACATACCTCAAGCACTACATTTTTCATGATCCAGTTCTGAATAGTCTTTGAGATAATATTCCCACCCTTGCAGGAAACCACAAACAAGGACTGAAGGCAGTACAGTTCATCATTCTTCTGTACCACCAATTATAAAGCAGTATCAACTTGCATTGATTTCTGGAGGAATTGTCCCTTTCATCATCTTGTTTTCTGGGGAAAAACTAGATTTGCTAAATTTGACTTTGCCTCTCTATTGCAATTGTTTGTATCTATTTGAAAACTCATTGTCATTTCTTGCATTCAGCATTACCGGCAGAAACTGCTGGTGATTTCTCTAACCTGACATCCCTTGCCAGCCTGACAAGCACCAGATGCTACAAGAAAGGCACTAGAAACCCCACAACAGCGGACAATAACACAATAAACAGCTTTTCAGCAGGCTACCCTTGCCAGAGCTTTCCTTCATTGGTCACGGCACCAAAATATGAAGTTGTACCCGCTGAAAGCAATGTGATACCCAATACTTATAAATGATAAATTTCTTCATCAATCCTGCCAAATCTTTTGCCTCAGTGAGCTCTTGTGGCAGTGAGTTTGAAAGAGATTAGGCCAGCATTGTGGTTGACAACAATTCTTCTGTTTCAATGATACACAATTAATAAAAATGAGTAAACACCTGAATGAGTAAACTCACAGGGAACACAAACATTTCATTATAGTGTGATCTTTTAGCAATATATACAAAACCGTTTTTTTCTTTTTTTTTTTTTTTTTTTTGGCTTAATACATGAATACACTTACCACTTTCTGGCCTGAGAGGTAAACTAACAGGTGGACACAGGTTAGGCACGGTGTTCTTCAAGTCAGCTAAAAGCAGAAAAAAACCAAAACATTTGAAAATAATTACACTTGAAGGTTTGAAATCTAAACAACACCTCAATATTTCCAGCATTATTTCTGGGATCTAAATGTTGCCTCTTCTCACCACAAAAACAAGAGTAAGGGTGTGAGGCTGCTTTGCTACCTAACCCTTTTTAGCTCATACATGAAACCGGATTTCCCTAAATTTCCGTATTTATAAACATTCCTACAAACACTTTCCAAAACGCAGTTATTTATGAATAACTCATTTCAGTAGTTTTGTGGTTTTTTCCATGTCCCTCTCTGGTTTTGGTTTTCTGCTTCACAAAAGACATGAGATTTTCTCTGCTTCCTGATTAGCAAACTGGAATTTCTCAAAACGAGAATTAGGAACAAGTCAGTTTCCAGAAGGAAATTTTCCAAATTAAAATTCAAATAATCATTCATATTTTGCACACACAAAACTTCTCATTTGCTAATATTTCCCTTAAATATTCCCCTGTAATTTTAAATAACAAACAAGAAGTTTCCCCTGTGCATTCATATTTTGTAAAACACTTTGCCTAATCAAATCAGTTATAAATTCTCTACTAAGAAAAAATAAATTACCATTCCTACAGAAGCTGAAGACAGATTGGATTTTCCATTTGCTTCTTCCATTTTGTACTTCCCATGCACGTAACCAATAGATATTCCTAAAACTCCAGGATTTTTACCATTCACACTGACAGGATTGAAGAACTGGGACTATCCAGACCTCTCTTTAAAATGCTACTGTATGTTCCTCATTGACTGAACTGCAACCATAACTATACATATGAAGTCAAATTGCATTGAGTGGAACCATGTGGCCAACAGCTCACATGTCAGCTTAACATACTATGAAACGCGGAGACACAAGTACCTCCCTACAACAAGACTGTGGACTAAAACCAAAGACCCTGCTTCATGCTAACATCCCACTGCCTACCGTAAATTCCTCCTTCAGACTTCACTCATTTTCCCTTTTAGTCTCAGAGCTTTCTTGTTCCTCTTCCTGGTTCCCAGACCCCCAACACACCAGCACAACTGATACAAATTTTTGTCTGCAAATATCTCCATTTGCATAAACATCTGTGCCTTGCTGTGTGTTATGGTGGAAACACATCTGAAGTTTCCTAACGACGTAAGGAAATGTCACTGTCTCTCCCTTTACATATACCCCAGGCTCCTCTTCATCAACCCGCTGTCCAAGAAGTGAACAACACACTTTATTTTTAGTTGGTTCTTTGTCAACAACAGGAAAAACAATTCCAAGAAGTGGAATTGTATCTATGCTTCCACTGTCTCCTCTTCACTTTGCCTTTCTATCATTCTTCGTTCTTGTACCTGTCTGTTTCTCAGTTCCCCCTAAGATGGTCTTGCCATTGCCTACTTTATCAGGCCTGTTGTTCTTTTCCTCTCAGTCCTAGACCCTCAGCTCATCCCTCCCCAAGCCCACACCGAGGATCTGGGAAACCCTATAAGCTTCCATGGTGCCCCCTCAAGTCCATGCTGTGTCTCTTTAACAAGGCTAACGCCACTGGGGGAGGAAATGGATCCTCTCGTGGGCAGAGTGCCAGCATAGGACTTGGAAAAGCTCAGGATCAAGTTCATATTTCAGACACTTTCAGTGCGAATAAGGGTTTTCTTTAAGTTTACCAACACTGTAAAATGCAGCGCATTTCCAGGATATCTGATTTAGTTTTACACAACTTTAACTGGATTATCTTAATAACGCGTGCATTGGACAGTACATATCTGCACTTCATGCCACCCCTCTCCACTCAGATACCAGTACTTCTCTACTCTGCAAGAAGTAAGGGAGTTTAAAAGCAGGAAAAAGTACTCTTTATTCGACTTTTTTCCCTGACTCTGTCAACATCGCCAGGCTCTCCTCACTGCTTACAGTGGAGTTCAACAAGGCCGTGCCCATTTGGACTCAATAACAGGCTACCCTCCCATAAAGGGGGATACAGTCAGACAGGCATTCGTTGGCCTTGTTGTTTCAGTTATGTTAATCAAAACTTACCAAAGTAGAACTAGAGCCACTCATGAGGAACGTGACAAATGACAAAACCATTGAAATTTTTCAACAAAATAATGGAGTCTTTTGTTTTGCTATGGAAAAGAAAATTCATTTTGACTAGATCTGGTTTTGATTCCTCTTGAGGAAATAACCTAACCTCTCATAACTTCTATTTAAACATACAGTGGGTTCTTACTGCCTGAAAAATACAGTGCTACCTTGGAATTTGGTCTTGGCTCTTTCTTTAACAAAACAGCCAAAAGTTAATTTTAAATTCCATAACAAAACCAAACTCTTTGAAGTTATGCATCCGCAAACACTGTTAAGCTATAAGCCAAGCAGTGAGAAACAAAGAATCATGTCCTGACCAGGACTGTGCAGTGGGACAAAATATATTTGGATTCAGACATTGGCCGCAAGTCTCCCATAAAATCTAAGAAATTAAATTATACCTTTTTGAGGTATTTCCATTCCTTTTCTATTAAAATGGTGATTAAATTGCACCTTTCTTTCTCTTGCACATATTTGTCTGCCTTGTCTATTTGTGGTCTTTGCAAATGGGTCCTCCATTTGAAAGCTGAAGCTTCTATACATTGAAGCTAATTAACAAGCTTCAATGTGCAGAAACCAGTCAAAAAGGCCATGTGCCCTACATCACTTACCAGGTTTTTGATACCAGCCAAACGGGTGTATTCTGACTTCGGCATCTGGTGAACTACAATCTGAAACTTGCCAAGCGCTTCTTGTTTCCTCAGCACACATCTGGATTCCTAGGCTGTTCAGAGTCAGGCACACGATCTTTCCACCTGCTAGGGAAATAGATGGTTATAGAAACGATGAGGAAAATTTTCCTTTTCTAGATAGTATTTTGAGGAAAGTGAATACAGCATGGTTCCACTGAGTGTTAAAAGAAATTCCACTGACTTAGAAATCAAAGGAAGGAAATAGCTAAAATGGGCCAAGTTTTACTGTTGCTGAAAATAGTGTTGAAAAATCACAATGAATTCAATGTGAGGGAAGGTGGGTACCAACATTATAACCCATTAAGGTCACTAGGAGTATTTCCACTGAGAAAAGACTGGGACCTCTTCCTTCAGCAAGCAGCCCTTTCTGGTTAATGCAATCCTGGAAATTAAAAGCCTGCATGTATGTTGAAACATGGCCCATACTTACATCAAGATAAAAATTCTGCCTTTCAAAGACCTAGTGTAAATATTTCTGTACCTGAAAAAAAATTGAGGGTTTGAAACACAGCTAGCAGTTTCACTGAAGATTTATCCAAGCTCATGTTAAAGTCACTACAGAAAGTTCTCTTGACTGTATGAATGCCAGGACTGGATGTCTGAAATGCCACAGATAATAAATATTAATCAGATAAACTAAGAGGTGGCAGTTTTGCATGTTTGGTGCTTTAAAATCCTTAATTTATTTTAGAACTATTTAAAGAAACTTAAAGTCATATTCAGTTAAGACTTCAAATTTCACATGGCCATATGGAGGTATGAAAACTGTCAACCGTTTGATTTGTGCAGTAATTGCAATCTAACCTATATTGGATTAATTTTCCAAGGTACTCATTTTTGACTGAGTGAAAATTTTGTCTAATCAACAAAAAGGGAATTAAAAATATATATTTCTGAAGTGTTCCAAATTCCCACATGAATGGTAAAACCAGCATATCCTAATGACGTCAGGGGGAGTTGATTAGCACATTCCACTTCTGAAAACAAGGTTAGCCATTTTAGTGGCCTAAATCTGAATTTGGAATAATTTGGAATAATTTGGAACAAAATATTAAAAACCATTTCATTGACTTTGACCTGGATGGCATCCAATTTTAAACACCTGGCTTTCTTTTAAACAGAACACTTCCTTTACAGCCAGTGGAGAGAAAGAAAAGTACCTTCAGAATAGTCAACCAGAATTCTTAATGACCCCATAGTTGTCTCTATACATCTCTCTGCTGACTACAGAGGTAGCACAGGGTGACAACACGCCTTAACTTAGCCGTCCCAAGTGAGTAAAATACATTTGACTTTCCAATGGTTTTCAAGTCATACACACTTTTAAAGATCTGATTTCCTCAGACTGACAGAAATCCTTCTTGAGATGTCTTAAGTAGCTAAAATGCTAAGGAGAAGAAGATAGGCAACCACTATCCCAAACTCAGAAGACTGAGAGGGGATCTCATCAACGCATACAAATATCTTAAGGTCGGAAGTCAAGAGGATGGAAGCAGTCTGTTTGCAGTGGTGTCCAGAGACAGGACTAGGGGCAATGGATGCAAACTGAAACATAAGAGGTTTCAGTTGAATATGAGGAAGAACTTCTTCACTCTGAGGGTGGCAGAGCACTGGAACAGGCTGCCCAGGGAGGTTGTGGAGTCTCCTTCTCTGGAGATATTCAAAGCCCGCCTGGATGAAGTCCTGTGTAGCATGCTCTAGGTGAGCCTGCTTTGGCAGGGGGGTTGGACTAGATGATCTCCTGAGGTCCCTTCCAACCCTTACAATTCTGTGATTCTGTGAAACCAACCTTCCTCAAGTAGAAGACTTAAATTTGGGAGCAGAGAAGTTCAGGCATCCAAGAAAAGCAATAGGCTAAGCTGCCCCAAAGTATCCACAGACATTATGTGCTTAACATGTGCATAATTTCAGTAATATTTAGGTTTCTAAGTCCCTTAGGTTTAAAAACTGAAACAACATACAAAAAAAAAGTCACAAAAAGAAGTCAACCAACATTTTAGTTGGTCAAAAGGTGTTGATAAATGAGAAGTGACAGTTCCCTGGAGTTTTATCAGTTTGAATCTCAGGCTGTTGGAACTGCAGCCTCTTAACGATGCATTCTCATAGTTTTCTTAATAATTTCTGAGGTGTGGAGTGTGTCATTGGGCTGAACTCCTAGAAAAGGTTATGGTTACTCAAAAAGGTGCTAAAGTTGCATAAGATCTGCAAGGTCTTTCAAGGTGCCTTTCACAGCAAAAGAATGAAGGGAGACTGAAATTATTTTAATAATAAAAATAGTGAAAAAATACCTGATAGCTGGGAGTCATTAAAAAAGCCAAATCCCGTGCAACAGGGGTCAGCATCACACCAACGCTCACACTCAAAGAAGCTGGGAAAGGAAAAACATCATTACACTTAGTATCATTAGTAATCTGTCTCTGTCATGGAGAAGGGAAGAGATGATATTGCATGGGGGAGAGGTGCTGAGAACCTGTAGATATGCCTTTCAAGGTAAAACTGCTTCATGGTTCTTTATACCTCATAGAAACTCCCATACTTTTTCCATTTGTAGATGAAATTATGTTTGATCAGTATACATCTATCAGACTACATCCAATAATTTAGATTATTATTTTCACATCTGCTGTAAAAATATCAGCCTAAATTAATTTGATGTATTATTGCCAAGAGGTTTAACTGGCCAACCAGCAATTTAATACAGTATAAGTAATAATTCACATATATATAATTACTAATTATATGCATTATTATTTATAAATCAATTATAAATTTCCTTTAAAACATATGCTATTTTTTCTTCATTAAATACTCTCAAATAGTGCTGTTCTTGGATCAATATGTCTGATCTCCTCCTGTGTAACAGGGCCTTGGTATTTCAGGCATGGTTAAAATTCCAGTAAAAACAAAGGAACAGACATGTCCTACCCATCTGAAACAGCTTTCCTGCTCATGTCAGTCTTATTCCTCACTGAGATCCCTGTTACTTTCTGGAATGGTACACGCATGTAGAAGCTCTTCACAGAACTCTTTAGAGTGACTGGAAGGAAAAACAAAATTGGAAAAATCATCTTAACTTTGTAATTTACATATACTGGTCAAGCAATCACATGGTAAGGGTAAAGTTTATGTTTCTATGCTACAATGATCTTGATGGATTAAAAGATAAATTTACATTATCACAGTAAACTTTTGATGGTTAAGCCTGAAGATGAACAAAAAACCAACAAGTGAAGGCACTAAAAGCTGAGCAAAGTACATCACCAAGGAAAGACTTCCAGCCCAGGGCTTCTGTTTCTGAGACCTGTATTGACTTTACTCCTTCCACAATGTCCAAAAACTGGGAGGAAACTCCAGATTGGAAGACTCCACTGTACTCATGCATTATTCAACTTGTGCTGCACTTCGGGCTCCCCAAAAAGACCCAGTTTAATAGTTTAGTTCAGTGGACCTTTACATCTTTCACAGCAAAAGTACAGGTTCCTGCATAGTGATAACAGGCGTGTTTGTCCAGCTTCCTCACATCAGCCCTATGAGAAATTCGTTGAACTTCTCAAGCATTCAAAGAGCAGAAGTCAACATATGACTCTGGATTTGCTAAAAAAAAAATTAAAAGTTTAAAAATTACACTCAATGACTTTCAATTTTTGCTTAACTACCATGGAAATTTTAATGGTACAAAATGGGATTGGTGACATCCCAATGACATTCCCATTTCACCAACATTATAAAAAGATCTAAGACCTGGTGTGCAAAGTATTTGAGCTACCCTTGGCCTCTCTGAATTGAGAACAACTGAGGGGGAGAGTGGAACTCATGGTTAATATCTTTCCATTCTGAACTGAAAATGAAAAAAAACACACCCAGAACAGCATGACCTTCCCTTGCATCATCACATTCCCAGGACTCATTCATATATTCAGACTTTTTATCTCAGAATCAAGAGCCAAAAAACTTGCTTGCGTTACTGGGGTTAGAGCACACGTTATATATTCAAATCCCCAAACTTGCCTATTTTATGATACAATGTCTGTGGTTGCCAAGGCAGAACAATTTGACAGTTTTCTGGTATTTGATCGATGCTGCCATCACAAATCTGTGCTTCTGGATAGAGGGTACACACAAAGTATTTGTCTGTAGTGTTTTGAAGATCTGCCATTCGACAAAACTCATCTTCTTGTGCACAACCTAGGAAGCAAAGTCACTAAGAGTTACACACACATGAAGGTTTCTTCCCCTCTGTATTCCTCTTCATGTCTTCAGCGCACAGAAAACTATCCATCAGCAAACAACTAAAAGTGAGAATTTCAATATCATCCTATTCAATATTATCCTGCAAGAGAAACAGGGACAGATTCTGTTTCTAGAGACACTGAAGAGCAGGTTTACCTGGAGAGCACAGAAAATGAGCTACACCACAGCTAATTGGAAAGACACATTCCCCAGCTGTGACAAGCATAACCTCAGCGTACTGGTGTCACTCTAACATTGTGATTCATAAAGTTCTCTCTTTAGAGAGATGTGACATACAAACTGTGCAATCATAAAAGAACTCTGCACCAGCCATGTGTCTCTTACTTTAAAGAACAAAAAGGACAATAAAGTCTACAATGTCTTAGGAAGTTTTTGCAAAAAAATATTTATGAAGTGTTCATACGTGACACAAAAATGTAAATAACTTTTCTAGAATCAACTGTTCACCCCATTTACTAGTAGCAATTTGCACTGAAATTTGCCCCAGGGTAATAATGCACCTTCAGAAAAGAAACATCAAACCCATTTCTTAGTCACTGTGGTAATGGCTTCTGTAAATATGCTTCATTTTAAACAGGCATAGCTCTGCTGACCTCTTACAGCGATGTCTGTGCATGGTTTAGTACTCTCAGTTCGGCCTTCCTGGTAGTTAGAGCTAGAAACTTGTCTCCCTTTATCACACCAAAATATACTTTATCATTAACCCCAAATATCTGTATTTTACCTTCTCCTTTTACCACTATGTCATCTATCAATTTGGAGGGGTACATTTCAAGAACAGCAGAGTACTGCCTAAGCTATATCTTCTACTTCTCTTGCCCATAACAGGGACACCCTGATGGTGGATGATGGGTAAACTTTCTGCCACAGCAGACAAAGATTGTAAGAAAAAAACAGGTGGGCCCATTACCCACTTCCATGAAAACTTTGTGGGTTTTCCCAGAAAAAATCTCTAAGTCCAGAGTTTCTACTCATCATAATTATAATACCTATTAAAATATTCTAATTAATTATTATTCCCTACATAATAACAGTCTCCAAGATGTCTTACGTGTGAGACACCAAAGCACCGCTTCATCTGCTGAGTACTTCTGCTTGAAGACCCAATACTGCTGGTAAGGGAGAGAATAATTCTGGTCACTTTGTATCCGGCTGTTGTCCATTAGGTAGAAAAGATCCTTTGTGGAACCTGAGATTCAAACAAACAAACAGACAAACTGCTCAAACCCACAAAAAAACTTAACTATGATCTGGAATAAATTAAATTTATTTATATAGAAAATTCTGCCTTTCACAGTAAAACAGCTGCAACGATTTTGTAGGGCTAACATACACCAAAGGCTGCTTTTAATGACAGAATTGTCCACCCAATTGATGCCTGTGTAGGCAATGCCTCCTTGCCGAGCTGCACTGCACAACTCTGCATTGTCAGACTATTTCCACCACCCAAAAACTAAATGAAGATCACAGCTCCCAGAAATAAGAAGGTTCTCTCTACTCTGTCATGCAACACATCAGCCTAATAGTGAAGTATGATGCCTCAGAGGATGTTTACAATACCTTAATCAATCTAGTTTTATTAATCCAAAACACAGCATTTTCCTTATATTCCCTTGGGAATCTTTTACACCTCTCTGTTAAAAGTTTTCGTAACAAGCTTAGTACCTATTTCAGCCGTTTAACCTTATTTCTCCTGGTTTATGCTCCCACAGACCACATTAAATAACTCCTTTCCGTGACCTGCCTGTGATCTTTAGATGTGCATGCAATGCTTTATTATCTCCTGAGCTCCCTCTGAAACAATCACAGCTATTCCAGGCTGTTTCCAAATGAATCCCTTTAAATAAGGGTCCAAGTAAAATATTGAAAGAGATGGACAGTCTTCACTGATCTCTTACAAATTTCTTCATAAACAGCTTTTTATTTGTCAAGTGCCATAAGCAGGTCTCATCCCTGGTTATTCCAACATTGTGAGAGATTCTGTTATTACTGAAACAGCCAGACAAAAATGAAAATAAGAACGTAAAGACGTGCCGATGATTGCAGCTGAAATGCTGAAGCACATACTGACATGCTGGGACAGCGCAGTAGCCTTGAATTTTAAATCAGAAAATAGAAAAGATGTGTTACTATGTGCTGTAAAGATGATCAGCAACTAATAAAAGCTCTGTAGATATTTTCTTAGATGTATCCATAACTTTTTTAACAAGGTGACTTATAAGTCCTGAGAGTTAACAAGACTTAACTTCCACCTCCAGTTTCTCTTGAAACAGTTTGTGTCATGACTAAGAGTAAAGGATGGGGGAAGAAGCTGCATTCCTTGCATAACTTCAGGTTTCAATGATATCATCAGCCGCAGCAAGGCGAATAGAGAACCCCCAGGGCTTCACTCATGCCTTGGCAGGTAAACGCAAGAGAATTTCACCCCATGTATTAAGTGTAGTTTTTTCTCATTTTTAAGTCTGGACTTTAAGGTATGACTAACTGTATAGGAGCACCACTAGCTAAATGGGCATTTTAGTTTACCTTCCATTCAAACTAGATAAGCAAAATCAGCAATTCACCTTGTGTTAGGATTTTACACGTATCAAATCACATGCTCAGGTATTCATCAAGGCTCCTCAGCAGAGATTACAATTCATTAGGGATGAACCACAGTGCTCTCAACAGGCTCCACTGCTCTTTTTCTCTTAGGATTATGGTGCTGAAGGCCCAAAGGAAATCTAGTAACTTAATACAAATTATTTTGGATATATGAATGACTTTTAGTATAATGAAGAGCAGACCCTGGAATAACAAAGGAGCTAGAGTACTTCACAGGTCCCCTCATTGTCATCATGTGTGGAAGAAACACTTGTGATTGCAGTTGTATCCTCTAAGCATCATATTTACAGTCTTATTGTCAGTAACAGTAAATATGCCCCAGCACTCAGGCTAACGATTTGATCCCTGGGTTTATGCAAAATTTTTTTCTCAGCCACATAATATTTCCTGGGTCTTTACAGTTCAGTACTGCTGAAAGAACAAGCTTTCACAGAACATTTTAACACTTTCATTTCCAGCCTGGCCTGGGAAGGTAAAAAAATCAGAAGGACAGGATGACCTTCCAGGAGGCTCACATTTTTAACACCTTTCTCAAAACCTGCATCATATTCCCTACCTAAGAGAAATCCTTGGGACTTCACAATACCTACATCATGACAATACATATGTGACAAGACATGATATTTTCTGGTTAAATTCTGCACCTCCCTCTGCCATCTTCTGCTACCCCCTCTGTCCACCCTTAGTACAATACCTGATAGTGTTAGATCATTCTCTGTCTTCAAAGCAGTAGCATCACACTCTGAGGTTTTAGTTTGGGTAACCATATCGGAGCCTGGAATGCAACAGGAACAAAAAAGCATAGTAATTTGCTTTATCTTTCTTCCACGAGACTAGATGATTCTTAGTCCCTTACATTTAGCAAATATTTCAAAGTGGACCATTTAGGAAAACTCCTTAGGTAGTTCCACCAACTGATGAATAAAAAAAATGAGTAAAATCACCTATGTATAACTCTGGGAAAAGCCTAAACCAAAACTCGCTCTTTGGAGGATAAAAGCAAACATCGTATCCACAACTGCTATGCATTCAGCATTAGTGCTCTGGAGGCTGTGTGCATTTATAAAGCAGTATCACAAATCATCTGTGCAGGTCCTGCTGCGTAAGTTGTGCCACTCAGAAAGGAAAATTGAAAAAAACCAACACATATATAGATATCATGTTAATAAAAGTAATCCATCTAGTTATGTATAATGTGCCAAATTACTATGGTGCCTGGACACTGGGGACAAAGACAAGCGTCTCCATGATACTATTTTTCACAGGTATTGCAAGTTGTAAAGCACATTCTCAGACACTAAAATTTACCCAAATTTCATTAAATTGACTGTAGCAGAATTACTCCAGATTACATTCCCCCCCTGCCAGAAGAGACTTTCACGTAGTGTCTCAATTTGGACGGTACAAGATAAAGTGAAAATGACACTTCCATTATAGAACATGTATCTTCCACTGCCTACAGCTCTTCAGAAGCTTTTATAACAACTTCTGTGAGATAACTCACCTCTCCACAGATAAACTTGCTGAAAGGTAGTAAAATTTCTTTCTGCCTCTTCTGCCAACTCAGAAGCTAATAAAGAAAAAGGTTTGTTAGAATAGCTGCTCAAATTAAACAGGTAGCATTGAAATGCTCAGAAATCGCATCAAAAACACATCACTAGACTATGCATCACCTTATTTACAAGACCTTAAGGAAGAAGGATCCAGGTGTCCTGGGGATAGTCTGGGTCTGGGGTGCCAAGGCCTTACTCTATTTTCCATCATTGCTTTTTCTGTGCCACTCTGGGCATCTATCTGTTTGCATTTGCTCCAGAGTTTACATTTCTTTCAGATTATTGTCTTGAATCTGACTAAACTAAATATTGGAAGTATTACACGGTAACATACTAAAACCAGCACATTCTTGACTTTCATTAATGTTCACACAGTAAAGTATGAGATGTCCATCTACCTAACAATGCATCTAATCAGGGAGTTGTTCTTCTCTTGTGACTGTACAGGGTAGGGCCAGCTGTGACAGGACAAGGGGTAATGGCTTTAAACTAAACCAGGGTAGGTTTAGCCTGGATCTAAGGAAGAAATTCTTTACAATGAGGGTGGTGAAACACTGGAAGGGGTTGCCCAGAGAGGTGGTGGAGGCCCCATCCCTGGAAACATTCAAGATCAGGTTGGACAGGGCTCTGAGCAACCTGATCTACTTAGCGGTGTCCCTGCTCACTGCAGGGGGGTTGGACTAGGTGACCTCTAGGGGTCCCTTCCAACCCCAAACATTCTATGATTCTATGGATTTATTTAAAAAAAAAAAAGCGCTAAAGCACCAGAGCAGGCTGGTGAAAAAGGCAGAGTCTACAGAAGAATTGGTAAAAAGTAATGTAAATTGAGATAATTCATTTACATACTTCCACTGAATACTTGTCCTCCAAGGGTGAAGGAAAACATCTTCTCTTGTTCGTCATAGCTCACACCTTTACATATCCCACCTATGCCAGATGTCGGTGTTGAACTCCAGCCATTTGCACTGCAGATCAGCACATCTGGGTCGCTCATCAGACTACACAAAATGGTACCTAGGTTCAGGCAAAGGGAGAGTTGTGTCACTCCAACAAAGCTTTGCACCTGCGCAGGGCTTTTCACTCAAGCGTCCCAATACTTTCTCTAAATGTCAGTTGAACCTCTGTCACCGAGATAGATGCCCTTTAGCATTGCTTACCCACCCCCAAAGAAAAAAAAAAAAGAAAATCAGAGCCATATGTTCAAATTGGAGTATCAAGGCTAGCTATTCATACCTAAACCAAACATTTGCAGCCTGCTTTTCAGAGATTTCAAGCACATAATATCACCACCTAATAAAATACTACGATTATCTGATAATACCCAACAGTGTTCTCGGCACTTTATAGCGCCACGGAGACATATTCAACCCTTTGGCGGTCTTACAATCTCTCAGGCTCTGAACCAAGAAAGCACTTATGTTTTTATTGGGATGTTTTCCTGGATTGGTGCCTGATTTCAGTCAGGCCAGGCCTGAGCCTCCCCTAGCATCGCGGCGTGAGTCGGGGGATCAGCATGCCTAAGGCCAGGTGTTCTGGCGTCAGTCTGTTACCATAAAGGCCAGACAATACTCAGCTCCCGCTTTGTGCTTGCTGTCACAGCTCAGGCATTTCTATGGTCTTACAATGACCTCTCTGATTTTTTAAATTTTTTTTTTTTAATTGACTGCATATATGAGATACTGAATGTGCTACTTTTTTTTTTCTTTTTCTTAACAAAATGCTAGACCAAATAATGCATTTACCTGTATTGTTGATCCAAATAGGTTACTCCAACTAAACAGAGAGCTCTACAACATTCACCTTCTCCACACTCCCCTCTAAGCTCACAACTATGGGGAACCCAAACATTTGATGGTAAATACAGAGAGAAATGGACTTTACAAGATCACCTAGAATATTCTGATGCAAAAAATATGAGATGTCAAAATAGAAAATAACTGCCTGGAAACACCTGCTTGACAATTTCCACAGAAAGTGGAAAGTTTTCTCAAATCCAGGATCAGTTACCACACAGAACTAGAGAAGTGCTTGCCACATAGCAGCCAGTAGCACATGCCTGCATTTGTAAGAGCCCATCTTGAAAAACTTGAGACATTTCAATTAGAACTTCATGTTTCCTATAGAAATGCACCTCCAATGGGAAGGTGATCCCATGTGAGCTCAAAAAGAAACTACAAAAAACAGGCAGTGACATTAAGTGCTTAAATTTGCTGCAGAAATCTGAGCTCTGCCTAGGTCCCAACTCTGCCAGACTCTGTCCATCCCACTCCCACTTGCTCTCCTAGCTAGACACCCAGATTTAGGAGATTATAGCATTCCTTCATCCAATAACATAACATCCTGCTTAGCATCCTCTTTTCCTGCTCCAAAAAAGGGAGATGGTTTACATTTTCACTACAAGCACTCTAGAGGCACTGTCTTAATTCCCCCAACAGCTGAAAGGCACCAACTTGTGGCAACAGAACTGCATCACGCAAGGAGAGAGGCTGTTTCAGTATGATTTATCCTGTCGGATGCAGATGTCTAAAGCAGGTCAAAAGAATTGCCCTTTCAAAATGTCCATTTCTCTCCAACAGCAGCTTTTATCTCTACTGCTCCAGGCCAAGCCTTGGGTAGTACTCAAATTCTGCCTACACCGAAAAATGTCAGCGATGCAGAAGCATGCTGCTGACACTCTGGTATGATGTGGAGGCACATATACTGTGTCCAAAAATGAATTCTACCCAGTTAGAATTGGTTTTCTACTGCATAATTTTTTATTTTGCAGTTAGACAATACCTCCATCCAGCACAATCTGACTCAAGATGAAGCCATCACAGCAAGAGTCCCTGCTGCAAGTCTGCCGGCAGAAGAGCTGAGCATCAGTCAGAGATGTGCTAGCTGCTGAGAGCACCACGGAGCGATACACGCCAGAAAGCACATTCTGAAAGCTGGTCCTTTCAAAGGTCTTGAGTCCAGATGAGTTAAAGTCTGGTCCTGGGTAGACAGAACAGGAAAGAAATGTTCAAAAGAGCTCAGGAGGAGACAAGATGCTTTCAGATTGCCTGCAGACTGGAGCTCGTTGAAAGTTTTATGGTTAAAAACTCAGCCTTTAAAGTCCTTTTCTGGGCAAATAGTTTGGTGCAATTATACCTGGGTAGTTGGTCAGAATGTACTGCCAGGGTAGGAAAAACAGCCCACTGTACCAGCAAAGGGCTCCTAAATCGATGTACACAGTAAGGTTAGTAATATTCCACTGTCGAGCACTACATTAATAACTCCCAGGTATAAATGAAACAAATTTATCTCATTGAAAAAAGTAAAATGTTTAATTTGGCCAGCATAACTGCATCTGCAACAAAGGCTTCTGCTGACTAGACACATATGCAAGAGGACACGACTCATAATCCTGGATTTAATTAGCAATATCAACAGAAATCTAGAGTAGATCTGGTGTGAACAAGATTACATTGATTGCAACAAGCTCAGGGGTCTTTTTTCAGGTGAGACTTAGCTCTTTATTTTTATTATTATTAATAAATGGTGACTCAGACGTTTGGATAGAGGTAAAAAAAAAGCCAATGACAGCAGAGAGTTTTGACTCAAGCCCTGCAGCTTTCTGCGTTTTGTTGTCTTGTTTCAAATTTGGCATGAGGCTTAAAGTTGGACATATGCTGGATGGAACATGCAGTGGTATCAATCACACCTAGGCCAAAAATATGTGGCTTGTACGTTCATTAGATCTGTTGAATCACTTTGGGATTCACTGGACAGCAGGGTATTTCTCAGCTGGTATATTAGTAGGATAATTTGCAGTCAAAATTAATGCAAACCATTAAATTATGTACAAGCTGGTCATTAATAATGCCTCACATAGTCAAATAAAGAACTATTTAATAAAAAGAAATCATAATACAACAGAACAGACTAGAGGATCGTACACTGGATCAAATCTGAGCTTTTGTGGGACTATCAGCCATCACAACACCTTACAAAAGCTGTGTTCCTAATTTCTAGGGAACAAGACATGAAGGGAAGATTTGCTGAGGTTTCTGGGCTATCACTAAATGTTAAGCTCTGGAACGTATTACGCCTTCTTGAACAAAGATGCTCCCCCGCATTTAGTCATGATCCTATATAGAACTGCAAGTTTGGGCACAGCAGTCTAACGTTAGATGAGTGATTTGCATCTGATACCTCTCTTCAAATAGACCATCACTGCATCTCCCTCTGGATTTCTGACGTGAAGCAGGCAGCTGAGACGACTGATGCTGGTGGCAGCAGGGTTCCCCAAAACACCTTGCACCTGAGACAGAAAACAGGCATGCACAATAAATACAACCTAATTGTTTTCCTCTCCTAAACCCCATTTTTCTTATTCAGAAACTCAAGGGGACGAATTGGCACACATGGCTTATAACCACCACAGCTCCACATGGCCCGGTGCGGACATTTCTTATTCTATCAAACTGAGATCTCAGCTCTTCGGTGCCACTTTGCTGTGTTTAGAAGTAGTGAATAGGAAGCTGTTACAGCACTGAAGAGCACAAGATTCAAACCCTGGGCTAGAGGAAGGGACTGAGAAATGATGACTGTTTCAGGTGACCTGAGTACCGACCTGGATACTTCTAGTTTGGACTGTTCAGATAACCTCCCCCTTACAAGGTAACCTGATTTCTAGACTACAGGAGCTCAGCATCTTTTACTCAGGAGTTCTGTGTAACATTTCAACCAAACACTGAGGCACTTAGAAGTCAGTTTTGGGAACTTTTGGGTGTAGCTTCTTCACCAACCTGCAGGAATTTATTACTTCCATAGGGAAGAGCAATGACCAAGGGGTCAGGTAACAGCCTGCCTTTCTTCTGTGATGCCTTCTACTTATATCAAACCTACAGTAATCTGATAAACACATATTTTTAAATATGAACATTTTTACCAAACCAGAGGTGGTGCAGTTGAAGTTGTCTTCAGCAACACTGTATAATTCACACAGAACTTCAGCACCAGCAGGAGTTACAGTGGCAAAGCCACACGCATCTTCCCTCTCACAGCCTGAAAAACAGAAGAGAAACTTTAGGTTTCCTAGCGTTTCATGTGCAAAATTTCTGCTACAAATTCCACTGCTTACTGCCATCACCTAGTCCTTCACATACCTCTATCTGACTGCAAACACACTAATGTCATTAGCCAGATGAACTTTACTATTCATTTTTTAGTAGAGGGTTGGGTTTTTACATTAAGTTAATGCAAAAAGTTGTTTGGACGTTCATCACCTGATGATACAAACAGCTGAGTTAGATCTAACCACCCACCCAAATATTTAATGTCTGCTGGATAACTTTGCCTGAGGCAAAATTTCACCTCCTATTCTAGGATTGGAGCTGCGTGACCAAGTTAGTGCTCACTTACACTGGCCAGGTGATTGCTCCAGACGTGGATGGAGCAATTGAAGAATTTGATGTTTCCCTCCTCCTTATCAGTCTAATATTTGTCACAACCTGTTTGCCATGGGGTTACTGTGTCAGGCAGATGTGATGGGCTGGCAAAGTGGTTCAATGTTTCCAAATGTCTTTAGTAGAAAATCAACCGGCTTAGAATAAAACATCATCAGAAACGGAAGCTAAGCTGTCTGACTTTGTCGGGAAGCAGAGATGGAAGGGTTAACCCTTACTCTTCAGGGAGCACCTCAACAGTAATATTTTGTAGTAGCGCTGCCATTTGACAGTGGACGTAACTTATAATGAAAAAGCAGGCTATGCGCACTGAATCAGACAGCTTGTCTAAGAGGCATCTTTCCTCCCTAAATTCTTTCCCACGGTCCTCTCAGCTCAGTGCCTTGCTTTTGAAGGTCTCCAGTTTCAGAGGAAGGTGCAAAAAATCTTGCAGTGTACAGCCAGGTGATGATCTGCCACAGGAAAATCATTCTAGCAACCATATAAGGCTTCACAGATTCATCTCTTAGCATGAGATGACTGTTCCAGCTAGACCAGGGTATGTGACACAAAGTCACTAACTTTGTCAGACTTCAGTGATGTCTACCATACAAACAGACCATCTGTGTTATTGCTGCCAGGATGTTTTTATTTTGAACATAACTCCTCTGCCTCTCTTCGCAAGGCTGAGGATTAAGACACACAAGGCAAGGCATTCATTCAAAGCACCCTGAAAGCAGTGCAGTGATTCCCCTTGGTTTTAGAGGACTTTGAATCAATATGAACCAACCAACATGATGTATCCAGATGTAATATAGTATATACACTGTAAGGCTCGGCAGAGTAGTATCTCTGCACTCCTTATAATATCCTTCTAATGTAAGCAAGGATGATTATTCATCTTTTAGGTGCCAACCAGGTAATTTGGGAAGAGGTGAAAGCTTGGTTTTCACACGTCCTGAACACCTAATCCTTCTTTTGTCTGCACATCTGAAAAGTCTGATGAATGTTTCCTGGTCTGAACCTCAGTTCTCATCCATACTTCAAACTGCACCAACTGGCTTTAAAGTCAGACGACGTTTAATGTGGTATGTAAAGTCAGAAGTCTTCTTTCTGAAAAAAAGACCAATCTCTTCCCTGAACCAAGGTCACCAAAAGTTGTCAATATCTTGCAATGACTTGGTGCTGAACTGCAAAACATATAGTTTGCCTAGGAACTTAACTATAAACTCAACATATGAAAAGATTATTATTTTCCATGATGATTAGCATCTTCTCTACAGATTTTCTGAGAGTTTTCCTCACCTGAAATGCACTGAAAAGCTGGACTTTGCAGGTCTCCCCCAAATGTCTGAGACTGGAGAATCTGAGCTTCTTCTGACCCATAAATCAGTCTGGAGGCAGGAACCCTCTCAAATTTTCTGAGCACTAAAAAAAACCAAAACAAACCGACCAGGTACTATTATTAGTTCCCACACTGCAATGAGACAAAGTGACTTCAGGTAGAAATAAAAATTCACACACTCTGTAGAGAAAAAGGGTTGCTCGTCAAATGATGTACCATAACTGCACAGATAATGCAGGAGACAGCTGGACTGAGGATATAATTTCTATTCTGAAAAAAAAGAAAGCATCACAAGATCTTCTAAAAACAGTTATCCAGGAGCAGGCTGAGAGTTCATGTTCAAGAGAGATTTCTCTTCCAGCAGCAGACTGGCCATCTCTCATTACTTGTTCATGGCGCAGAACCAACTATTGAGTCAACGGGGGAACCAAATTTCTGCAAAACAGCCACTGAAGCAAGAGCCAGCTCCAACAGGACTTGGCTAAAAAGGAAATCCAGGAGACCTATTACTTGTGTATAGGAGCACAACACCACTGACTTCAGGCTCAGGGATTTATCCAAGGCATGTCCTGCATGTTCCTTTTTGACTCTTTCGTTCAACCTTTAACTCCAGACCATCACTTTACTTACCAAACCCTTCATCTACTCTCTCTGAATTGGACCCACTGCACCTGAGCGTGAGGAAGTGTGACAAGCAGCACTGTTCACAAACTGGGAAAAGCTCATGGGGTCTGGAGATGCAAAACCCAAAGGTCACTAAACAGAGTGAGGAATCCAATTTAAGTTGCAGAAGGTTTGGCCCTGGCTGTGCCCTGAAGATGAAGGGACACACAGTGGCACCACCACTACACTCCTCAGCTCGCTACTACCTGTATTACAAAGGTTGTTCGGTACAGTGTGTCCACCAGTTGATATACTAATATCTGTCAGTGAACACAGCATATTAAGGAGAAGAGAAGAACGTGGAGGCTTGGCATCACCCCTGTGTTGACCAGTCTTGTCCTCTAAATGCCCCGAATAAACGCAAAACTCCATCTCATTGCAGCCAGTGCCTGACCTAGACCTAAAAGTGCAAGGAAGGCAGGAGCCCTGGTCTGATCTCGGCGCATGGAAGATGTCTGCATGTGGAAGAGCTAGAGGCTCAGCCTTTCTCTTCCCTGCACACGTAGGCACAGAGGTCCAGCAGGAGGATCCCAGGCCTCTCTCCCTGAAACGTCTGGATAAACCACAAAATAAAAGTCAGGGATGAGTTCTTAAAAGAATCATTTGTACTCTTACAGCAAACCAGTCAGGACTAAACCAGAAGCAAATGTCCACTGTTGTCAGGGCTGAGTCAGCAGGTGCTTTTGATAAAACCATCATTTCTGCTCAGAAAAAAACATGAGGGCTAGCCAAACACTTAACAAAAAAACCCATCCTTGCATTCCAGCTAGGCTGGGGAGAGGGCTGTAAACCGAGGTGGAAATTTTTTCCTTCATAGAAATGCAGGACACCAAAATATAAGCATTAACTTAATTCTGCACTAAACTGAATTCCTTCTACATCTGCAACTGGCAGTGATGCCTGGTTAAAAACCAGAGTTAACGTATTTTCCTAAAACTGAAAAGAAGCACTGTTTTTATGTTGTTTGCAATTGTTTGCTACCCTAGTTCCTAATGCATTATTCAAAATAAAGGATGACATTTTTAAATGTTTTTCTTTACTGCTGATTTTTTTTTCCTAATTCTGGCTTCATCCCACCCCTCCATTTTCTCTACAATAATATGGGAGAAATGTAGATAAGAGATAGAAAGTGTAACAAAATATTAAACTGAAACACTGCAAAACTAACAGAAAATCTGTCTTGTTTAATTCTTGAATTTTGTTTTTTAATATAAGGAAAGGTAAAAAAATAGCGTTCATGAAGCTACTTTGTAGGAAAAAAAAAAGTACAATGAAAAAATATTCTACCAGCTCACATTTTCAAGAACTTGTTCATTCACATTGCCCTCTTCTCAACAGCAATAAAACTACTCCACCATTTCACAGGCCTAGTCTGTAGCAGAAATTCTCCTCCATCTCATGCTATTAGAGACTAAAGCTCTAGATCCCATTCCTGTTATCACAATAAATGTTAAGCGTGGCTTAAAATATAGCAAGAGAGAGAACCATAAGAATGAGCATGGACTGTTACAGCTTATTACTGTGCATTCATAAAAGGAAATTCGTCTTCCCATGCAGCCTCAAAACCCAAAGAACAGTTGGGTTCTTTATTGACCCTTCCCAATCGCCAGCCTCCTGTCAAAGCCAGACCAGTTTTGAGACCCTGTTGTCTTGTTGCATGCTGAATTCAGTTAAGGGAAGTAGAGAGGCAGGGGGGAAAGTAAAAATAGAGATAATGGATTTCAGTTTATACAATGCTTTCTGGAAATGCAGCACGAACTACAAAAACAAAAAAAATGAAGTTAAATTAGCCTGTAAATTATTTTAAAGAAAAACCAACAACCAGACTTCTTGGTTCCTTGTTGTTGTTTTTTCAAACCTTTAATTGTCAACATTTATAACTATTTATTTGTAGTGAAATGTTTTAGAATGATCCACAAAAACATGCACAGATATCTCCAACTGCTTCATCCTGGACAGTCAGAAATGCTCACGAGGGAGGGCTCAAGGTAAGTAACAGGAGAATTAAGCTGCCATGAGCCCTCTGCCCAGAGAAACATCCCAATTACCCCGTGACCGAGAGCAACAGAGGCTAACACCTCGTGTTCATAACTACAACTGGTTTCTGAGTATGTTCAGGCAAAAAAAAAAAACTGTTTTAAATAAAGATAGTTTTGCAACCTCTTCACAACTGAGGGCTTTCATTTCACACTCCTTCCACCGATCACACTTGTCATAAGACATTGTCTAATTCAGAGCATGCCATGACATCAGTTTCTACACTGAATATTCCATTAAATTCGATACCAATCATATGATGAGTAATAAAAACTTCTGGAAAACTATTTTTGGGCAAGGCAGAAGCTTTGGGGCTGAGAAATGCAATTAGACCTTACTGAAGGCAGTCTGGGGACTTTTTAATGAATGACTTTTTTTTTTCAAATTATTCATCCCTGAGAACTGGCATTTCACAGTGGTGTTCAAGCAGGAGTAAGTTCCCCCAGCTTGCAACGATATGTTCACCAAGTCAGATACCATAGAGCAGGAACCCAGAAGGTGACATTGTGCCGTGGCTGGGAGGTCATTGCCAAACACAGTCTATTTCAGATGAACACACTGATGAGTGATAATTTTACAAAGCAATTCCCCTTTCTGCTGCTTTCCCATTAGCCCGCTCATTATTCTTTTGGGTTTCCAAGCAGAGAGCAGGAGATCAACATAAATCAAAAGCTGTCAGCCATCTGAGAGTGCAAGAAACCTGTTTGTCTCTCTTCCCCTACAGGAAATAACTTTTCTAATATAGTCAAGAAATGCAAAATTAAGGAGGAATGTGGCTTATAGCAGAGCCCGCAACTATGGAAAGTGAATCCCCCCCATAAGCTATGGAGTGATGCCTCTCTTCATAAGGAGGTTTCACTTATGTGGGGTCAAAACATATCCAAAATACAATTCTGACACTTACCTAGGCACTGGTAGTCTGTAAGGAGATCGTCTGCTTTAGTCCACTCCAATGCTGCTCCAAAGCTATCGACACAGAAGGATTTCTTAGTGTCAGGGTCTTGCTGGGAAGGTCTATACTGGCCATCTTCATCACACTGCAGACCCTGCTCATTGCTTTGACAGTATGTGATACCTGTTACAAGTAAACAAGAAAGGAAAAAAAAAAAGGTACTTTGATAATGTTGTCACTGGAACGGAATGGAACTTTGGAGGCCATCTGGTCCACCCCCCACTGCCCAAGCAGAGCCACCTAGAGCCGGTTGCCCAGGACCATGTCCAGATGGCTTTGGAATACCTCCAACGTTGGACATGCCACAGCCTCCCTGGGCAACCTGTTCCAGTGCTCAGCCACCCTCACCATAAAAAAGTGTTTCCTGATGTTCAGAGGGAACCTTCTGTGTTTCAATTTGTGCCCAGTGCCTCTGATCCTGTCAATGCAGTAGGACAACATGTCAATGCTGTAGGACAAAAGTGCTCTAAGTACAGCAGAGACTTCACTGAAAATTAATCTATAATTAGCTTTGTGTCTCATTCTCTGAAACATGGTAGTCTCACTGCTTTGTTGTTACTGCAATTCATATTCCAAACATTTTTAGGATTCTCTGCCATGGATCAGATCTCATTTATGCTAAGTACTGTAAAGTAAAGAAGTACAGAGAAGGAACAGAATTTTCTACAGGTTTGTTCAGTGCCTGCTGCAATGGATCCACAAAATGTTATGAACCACGGCATAAGAGCCATCACATCCATTTGTTATTTGTTGTCCTCACACCTTTTCTTAAATTCTCCTTTTCATTGGGAAAGAAAAGTTCTTCACACTTTATTCTTAAAGAATGAAGAGCTTTGATTTTAATTAGCATATTTTCCTCAACTACTTAATATTTCTAATGATTTAGAAATCTTTCCACAGAGAAAGAAATCTGGAAATTTGACCAACACTGGAGGCAGCAGCAGAGAATCCCAGGTGAACTAAGCCTGACAGGTTAACAACCTTGATGCCCTCCTGAGATGCTACTGAAGCAAGTGAGGCTTCTCCATGTATGAAAAAACCACCAGAGTTTAGTCTGACATAGGAAAATGTGGCAACATCAGCATTGTTTCAACTCAAGGCGCCAGGTCAGGAGCTAAGGTGCTTTAGGAAATGCTTCTCATGCCTCTCAGCCGTCCTAGAGGAAAAGGTGGCAGGAAGAGGAGGCGGGAAAAGGAAGCTAGCTAAATATGTACAACATGGCACTTTGAAAAGGGCTGGCACTCAGACTCAGCACACAGGCAAGGAAACCAGGCAGGGAGTAGGTTTAGTCACAGGCACTTGCAATAACGAAAACTGCAAGCGCAGTAAAGAAAACCTAAGGAGCAAACTTTTAAGCAGAGGAGTCCAGTAGCTACACAGCAAACACATACGGAAATGAAGAATGACAACTTTAGGCAAAAGCTAATTGATGGCAGGGTGCATTAAAAGAAACCCACTTTTTTATCCAGCCTAAGAGTATAAAGAGGTTGAAACAGAACAAAGCAGTTGCTGTAGCCACCGATACTCCCAAGTAACCCATTCTTACACTCACTTTTATTTTTATCCATGAGCTAATGCTGCAGACAAAACTGAATTTGGACTTCAGTGATTTTCTTTACAGAACTGCATGCAAAAATAAGTCATTTAAACTGAATACACCAACTTCAGTGAACATATCGATAATTGTTTTGTGAGAAGTATTTGTATTTGCAGGGGAAGGAGCTGCACAAAGGCAACACCTCTTTAGTGTTCATGAAAGTGACATTAAATGAACTACATCAGATGTTTCTCACTGATACTGAATACCCAGATATCATTCCTGAGGTCAGCGAACACATCTCAAGGAACCACAACATCCTGGATGAGACTGACCACTCATTTCCCAAGCATTTTTGGTCAAAACACCAGAGCTTTTTCTGTCTTTCTAAAACATCTTTGAATGTATGCAGAAGAGATCATACCCATCCAAAAAAAAACCCAGAGGGAAGATCCTTTTTTTTAAAAAACTTACAGATGACAAAAAAAATCCATTAGTTATTTGAAGCCAGAATACAAAGGGTAAGGGAAGAAATGAGTTCAACTTACAGTGATCAGCACTGAATGCCCCATAGGAGTTGGTAGTTTTGCCCACAGGACACTTGATGCAAGAAGAACGTCCTGTCTGATGCTGATAGTAGCCAAAAGGGCAGGGAATGCATTCATCCTTCTGGAAATGACTGCCCGGAGGACAAACAACTGCAAAGAAAACAACAGCCTTATTACTTTTATGGAATCCAAGCAGTTCAGGGGTTCACACACACGTGAAGGTATATGTATGTATGGAGATATATGTATATATATATATCACACTGGTAGACTTGCCATAGGCTTCAAGCTCTCAATATAGATATTTCTAAGTGGGATAATACAAGTAAACGCTCCTTAAACGTTCATTCATCTCACCAATGACTGGAATATAGATCATGGTCTTTTTTTCTCAGATCACTCTAAAAAATGTTCTTGAATTAGTGCACATCAAGCTCTTTGGAAATGCCAAGTCCAGGCCTGATTTCCATTTGTCAAAACCATTTGTAATAATATAATGCATTTTGTGGACACGTTGTGAAAGAAAACAAAGGAACACAAGTTACAAGCAGAGTAACTCCTACAAACAGACAGAAATACGAAGACTCCTAGGAGTAGAAGCTCCAAAAAGATCATCCAGAAACCCACCATATGGTAACACACTCATTCAGAATTCCTGGTAATTAAATTTTTGGTCAGCACTTCCAAATTAAACAGTAATGGCTGGATTAGAAGTCACTAGTTGTGCACATGACAACCCAAACACAAAACAAAAAGATATTCTTGGTCTGTATATATATCATTTTCAGAACAAATAAGGAGTAGTATTTCCAGCTGACCTTTTGCATGTTACAAAGAAAACTCTTCGTCTTTTGGTCTGTCTTTCCCTCCAGATCATCATTCGAACGAATATTAAAGCAGAAGAGTCACAGGCACATTTGCAGGACAATACCTTTACTTGTTATTTCACAGCTGCTTTCCAGATGTAGATTTGCTTCAAAACATTATCAAATGTATATTTTGGGACTTTGAAAAAGTGCAAAACTTTGTTTCTGGTTTTGCCCTACACCTTGACAAGCTTGTATGAGAGAGAAACACTAACAGAAAATTGGCCATCCCCACTACAACCCATGTGATGAATTGCTGTTCTGGCCAACACACCAGAATGTAAATTAATTTAACTTATAGGACCACTAAATAGACTAGAAGGCAGCTAGTATTAAAATGATCATATCTTCCTTCATCTGCTCTAAATGGTCCAATGGGAAAGCTTGTGATGAGACAACTGTGAGACTGAAATTTTCCTCCCAAGTACATATCAAGGCAATTGCTCTAGGTATAAAACGTATCTAAAATCAATTACAGAACCAAAAAATCCTGGAGCAGACAGAATTCTCCTGTCTCATGCATATTATTTAACACACAAGAGCGTCTGATACATTTTAAAGACATTTTCCAACATATGCAGAACAGATCACAGTCATTGCAAATGAACAAATGTAAAAATTAAAACAAATTGAGTAATCCCTGCCTAAACTGAAGACAAAATACAAAAGATGAGGAAGACTAATTAAACAATTAAAGTTTAAAAAGAAACAAACCAAGCTTTTCAAAACATCCTCCTTTTTTTGGATAGTCATGATGTGAAAGTAACATCTGTGTCTCCAACCACATTTCAAGCAAGTAAAATTGCCTTTTGTCTCACACATTAGATTAACAAAAGGGCACAAAGAACAGCAAAAAATGTTGGTGCAGAGACGTATGTTTTCTAGACTCTCTAACTCTTAAAGGCACGTGTTATTTCAGCTATAGGTTACACTTGACAGAATCACATAGAGGTTATGTTTGATTTTAGATGTCAGGCAAACCATGACGTTGTTGTTCTTGCAAGCTTTAACTTTCATATGCTTTAACAATGCCAGCAACTAGAGAACAGCCTTGAGCCACAATGTGAGAGCTTCATCCCTGGAAACATTCAAGGCCAGGTTGGACGGGGCTCTGAGCAACCTGATCTAGTTAGCGGTGTCCCTGCTCACTGCAGGGGGGTTGGACTAGATGACCTCTAGGGATTCCTTCCAACCCAAAACATTCTATGATTCCATGATTCTAAATTTTATTACTGGAAGCAAAATTTGTATCCCTAGAACAGGAAAAAGAAATCAAATAAAATAACAAAATAAAAATTAAATTTAAATACCCAAATTGAATCCCTTGCTCCTGCACATCAGATTTGTAACCTGGCCTCACTTCTAAGCATACTCTGGCTTTTGTGTACCAGTGAAATATCATGCAGAACAGCAATTTCCAGGCGAAAGAACAACTCACTGGGGAAACACAAAGCGACTCCGTGCAGGGGTCCCACTCCTCACAGTAGACTCCTTTTACTCAAGACCAGTTTTCACTGCTCTAGGCATGCTTAAAGACTGTCATGACTGATCATTATCCCATGCTTGCACTGCTCTTTCCTCCCTCCAGGGATAGTGGAAAACTTTGCGATATCAGATTCTTGATCCAGATTATTACAAATGAAGTCTTGAGCTGCCAGCTCAGCTGTAAATCTAGCACTTTATTTGATTTGGGTTATGCTCTGCTCAAAGCAATTCTGATAGAATTGCCAAGCATTCTAAATAATAAAAGGAACCAGCATAAAAACATATAACAAAACAAAGATAACTCACACATCGGCTTCAGGCTTTCTCCTGAAATAAATGGGGGTAAAGGGGTTGAGTTCATAAAGCTGCCTCCTGGAGAGTTTCCAACTCTCTTTTTGCCTCACACCTTAGCAAAGAAAGTGTCTTTTGTCCCTTTAAAATTTAGTTAAAAACCCCCTGTTACTTCAGATTCTTGAGGAATTATATTCATAAATACCTGTGGGGTAAAGTAACTGAGTGTAAGACTGAGACAAAGAAAAAAAGTCACGGAAGAAAAATTAACACATGATAAATGTTACCCATTTTACAGACAGAAAAACATGAAACAAAGCTGCAATAGATGCAAACCTAAAGAAACATAAATGAGAGATGAAAAGGTAGGTTCATGCAAGCTGCATTTTCCTAAATGAAAAATGTTAGGTTTATTAAGAACACCAGAAAGCTGCCACTACTAAGAGATGTCCACGCTTCCTGAAGCAAGGGGAAAGGTTACTTATAGTGAAATAAAAACAAACAAATCAATAAATCAGGATCTGAAAAGACAATTTGCATTTTAACAACAAGGTGGAACAGGAAGGGGAAGAGAATAAAGAAAGAAACCCTGTCACCCTCACACAACTTTGATTTCTGTAATCACAGCTGGTAACTTCTTATTACTAGTCCTTATTAGTAGTAGAGAAACAGACCCAGAATGATAAATGACCAGAATATATCCGTAATGCAAAATAAAACTAAATATATATCTACCTAAGAGGAACCAGAAACTGAATTCCTAAATCTCCTGTTTAGAATAAAATATGCGGTCCTACTACCAGCATCCAGCAGCATGTCATCTTAGAATACAAAATCTCTGCCGAAAGCTGGAGCACAAACTGCCTCCTTTCCACATCTCTGTGATATGTCTGTTTTACTGAGTGCCTTTTTCTACAGCTAGCTGGTTCAAATCTGTATGAACTAACTTACAAAGCAAATCAATCCACTGCTTCCTAGAGGCCTTTATCCCTGGCAGGAAATACTTGGCAGAAAGATCCAATCCTTTGTAAGTTTGTCTGCTCTAAATGATGGACTCTACTTAATAAATAATGATACTTTTAATCAGTGAAACATTACATCTTGTTAAGTAACTGCAAGTTGTTACAGGCTCCAGATTCTCAGTAGGAATTAATCTTTTTTCTGCATGGTGTATTTAAATAATCAAAACCTGAAGTGTTTCAGACTATGAAGATGAACTGAAACTGCAGCCAGTTTACCCTTAAAGGTCCAAGCTGGAAACTGCAGCAGTTCAGAACTGATTCATCACTTGATTACTTTGAAGCCCTTGCCCAGGCATTAGGAAGCTCTCCTAACTTAAAGAGAACTACCATATCAAGCAAGGAGCTAAGTTGTTTTCATGGATTTTGATTTGCTCTTAGGATCTCCAACTTAAGCTGCACAGTGTTGAATTTTTCCCATCTGAAAATATTCCCCACTTTGGAAAACTTATCCAATAACTGCTACTGTTGATCTTATACCTAGAAGTGGTCTGTCCCTTCTCTGTTCCCCCCCAAAAAAGCCAGAGATAGTCAATCCATCCCGAACTGACATAAGTAAGACACAGACTTGCCGAGGCTAACTGGGCCAACGAGAATGATGAGGGTTGCACTGTAGGAGGGCTGATGTTGACAGAAACAAGAGCGGGGGTGTTAAGGCAAAGGCTCTTTGGCAGCACGAGCTGGTACGCAGGAGTGCTAGGCACAGCCACGGGGATCCGTCGAAAAGGTAGGCTTGGCAGCCCTGAGCAGGATGTTGGCAGAAGGGCAGCCTGTTCCGAGGACGCAGACTAAACAGAAGGAAAGAAGATGAAAAGAGGGCAGAAGTGCAATCAGGTCTGGGTGTTGGCCAACACCGAGAAATCTTCCATCTGAGCTGGCTGGACTTGGCCCAGGAATTCACAATCTCAGAACTTTTGCCATTTCTGCATGCAGGTTTCTATTCTGGGTAATGTATCATCATCTGAAGCTCTGGCTCCATTATCTTTGTGAAATCTTCTTATTAAGGATCACGTACATTACGGAAAGACCACCTAATACCAGAGATCTAAAAAAATCCCCCCAGATGTTTGCAAAACCTTCTATACTATGGCAGCACCATGATGCCTATTTCCAAATCATTGGTTCAGTGCAAGGACTGGACTGTAAGCAAAGCATTAATTCCCATCTCTCCTCAGATTTCTCGTTCACGTTGGTGCTTCAGGCCTTCCACATATAAACCAGAAACACAAGTTCACTGATGATTTTCTAACTTCAGCTTTATACTCATTCCTAACAGCATCAAAGAAGGGAAAACTAAACTGACACATACCACATCCTTGTGAATTTGGGACTGCTTTCCCAGGAGATGAAATTCTTCGAAACCCGCTTCTGCATCCTAGCTGCACACTCGGAGACAGATCAAACTCTTCATCCCGGGGAAAATCAATGAAAGAATCTCCTAGGAATTGCTTGGAGTCTAAATGCAGCAGAAAACCACCATCCTTAATCTCTTTTATAAATGCTCCAATGAGGTTTTCTCCAACAATTGCATTTTCTAAAGGGGGAAAAAATGCAACAAAATAGGATGAAAGAGACTCCCAATATGGGAATAGATAACCACACAGAAACGGATGAACTTTAAGTTGAAAACATCGGCAGATACAGAAATGCAAGCATATTAGCAAACAGCAGACAAGAATGAATCTGAACAGTGTCTATCAGATTAAAGTTCTAATCTCAGTATATGTAGAGAATGCTAAAGAAACAGAAAAAAAAACCAACAAAAAATGTCATATTCAAAAACTAAAGCATCAGAGAACAAAATTTGATTTTGGAGTTACAAAATCTGACATTCAGATTTATTGTATTCCTGTTTTTTCAACGGGTATCATTTGCTTCTTTTTCAGCATTTTTTTGGTTTGTTTCTGAGGGCCAGCATCTGTAACAATATATATAATAATGACCTTCCATCACACTGCTGATATTCAACACATCCACCTATGCAACGGACACGCTGTTGTTCACAATTGCCAAAGCTGGCGCTGAAAGCTGGAAAACAGGGAGGACCTTTCCAACTCTCTATATCCTTAGCTGCCCAGACAGTTTTCCTTTCGATGACTTGTGCAAGGACAATTTTCAGTGCTAGATGAAGATCAAATTCCCCAGTTTTGCTGGACCAGAAGTACTACAAGAACAGCGTTCTGAGCAGATTTTGTTTGCTATCACATGCTGTTTATCCCTGCAGGCTTTATGGCATTAAACGAAACGTTGGCGTGGTTTACTGCTTCAAATTTGCAAGACAAGGGCCTCCTGTAGCTATGGGTGGTAGACAGCCGAGTAACCCAGCAAACAGGAAGTTCTACACACCATATACTTTGAGTTTTGTGAGTACACCAACGACCTTGGATGTTGAATTTTCACAGGGAGGATGTTACATACATAAAGAGAGCGTGAGGAATGTTACAGCTCACACACTGTACAAAGATTATTATTTTGTGACCGATGTGTCCAAGGCAAGTAGCTGAGGGTACTGCTGCCTTCTCACGTGGTGAGTTTCCCATCTTTACACTGTAGCGCAGAGGTGGCTTTTCAGTTGTGCAAGGGGAGAATTTCACAGCCAGGTATGAGGCTCCAGCAACATAGCACTGCCCTCCTGCCCATGCTGAATGGACCCCAGACGTACAATGCTTTTTCTGAAAGATCGTCCTATGGTCTTTAATACTGAAAGTGTAGGTGCCCCCTCTTCCTGAACGCTGGTCCATAGCCGATTGCTATCACGTAGATGTTGTTTCCCCCTTTGCAGAGGAGGGACATGAGGTTTTTACACTTACGGGCTAAAGTGAACACAGCTCACATTAAAGCTGACAGCTGTGTCCTCATATTCTCAATGCTCTGTTTCCTCCAGCTTTGAGCAACCTACCCTTCTGCTGCACTGACACATACAATAATCAAGAAAATAGCACTTAGTTTTGTTCAACCCCAGGCCAAAACGATACTTAGCCTGCAAGGAAGTAACTGGAGATCACCACATAACCAACAACACTTTGCAAATGTTTTGCCAGAAATTATCTCATAATTGAAAACAGAAATAAGCAGATTAGCCTTTTATTCAAGCAAATATCATTCCAAATTGTCTAGTGACTGTCTGTAGCAGAATTAAAAATAACCTTGAAATGACAGCTGGAGGGAATTCACATGCAGAAAAGAAGCAAACAGTCAAACCAGTAAGACCACTTAGGTCTGCTGAATTTCCTCTAGTCTAAAATGTTCCCCTGTGTTGAAAAGTTCTCAACACTATCGCTACATGTGACTCTCCTATGACCACACTACGCATCCATGCATACATAGTAACCTTTACATTCAGAGTATATAAACGAGTGTTTAACTGTAGTGTACATGTTCATGCGTTGCAAATAAACAGGTACATCCTGTAACAGCTCAGCAGAACAACCCAGTGCCCGCCAGACACACCAGCCACAGACTTGCTGGTGACCTCTTACATGACCTGCCTTGGTTCAACCCTTCCAGCATGGCTGGCCAGCTTGGGGCCACGCTTCCCTGCTGGTCCAAGATGAGCTTCCCAGGACCTTCAGTGTGCTCTGAAGCATGGTAGATACAATAGCGCTTCCCTGGTTTTACTCCTGTTTTGCTGCACAATTTTGGCAATTCAAGCTACTATGCATCCCATACTTTGTTGGATTTACTGGAAGTTCTTACTAAGCATTTCTCCAGAGCCTGGTATCCCTTTAGGGACCTGGACTTCTGGGGGGACAACACTATCTTTTAACATACAGAAGTAACCTGCAAATAGATGCATCCTGTGTTGTGCAGTGGGAATTAGTCTGATGCAGGGTTTGCTCCTGTTGAACAAAACACTAACTTTAATGTGACAGGGATCATATCGTTACCCAGAGTTTATATTGGCCAATAAGAAACTGAGAGAAAAGAGAAGAAAAAAAGCAAATTTGTTTTGTTGTTTGGTTGTGTTTTTTTTTTCTTCTTTAAGGAAAATATAGAGCACAAAGACACAGATAAAAATATCAGTTGTACAGAGCAGGGATTGATTTCCTCCAGTGTCACTGATGGGAACTGTTTACTGTATGTTCATCCACCAAAAGCTCATTTTTATTGCTTGTTGAACAGAAAAGAGACAAGTTGCTGCAAGTGTTCCTCACTATTTTAGAGCTGAGGCCTAAGACACGAAGCCAAATGGCGTAAGATCCTTCAGGAAGGGATTTGCACAGCCTCAGAGTTTAATACATGAAAATATCTGCAAGAAAAAAAGTTACGAAGCATTCATGAGTGATTTAGGTTTGAGGCTCTTCATTGGGAACATATGCAAGCTGCGCTTCTGGTTAGCAATTTTTTTGTCAGCTCCTTCCAGAGCAAGACTTCACATTTACCAGTAAAGAAGCTAGGCAAAGAACAAAGCTATTTTAGTAATGTCAATTTTCAAATCTACAGATTTGAAAACTCTCTCTTTTGGCTAGAGAGGCAGTTTGCTTGCTCTATGTAAATACAGCAGAAAATACCTCAAACAGAAAGACCCAAAGCTGCCTTAGAAGGTAATGGAAGAAGAGGACACAGAGAGCAGGTTCCCAGTTGTCTGATCTTCTCCTCTTCTGAAAGCATACAGTCATTCTCTGAAAAGCAATTTTAGTACTACAGGAAAATTATAGTGTGGAGAGGGTCAAAAATGTAATGCCCTGAAAGCAGAACACTTTGAAAAGAAAAGTTTATATTAAACCCAAACACGCTTATACTTTGATCCATCTTCTGCAAACTGCTTGAATCTTCATGTTTCTGTTATAATCTGGAGCAATGGAATGGATGTAAACAGCCACTGCCTGCATCCTGAAGGCTTTTGAACTCGGTTCTGATCAGGCAAAAAGTGCTGTAGGGCACATGTCCCCAAGTCCCATAGCTAGAGGGAAGGACACGTGTAGGCAGAGTTATTTATATTTAGTGCTGGGAACACCATTGTGAAGAAGTAAAACTGGAGTAAAGCTGGCACAGAGGGCATTTGAATGTGGGATATATCTTTTACATCTTTTATTTTAAAGGGAAACACCAACTGCTTTGAAAGAAGTTCCTTGCATCATCTCTAACTCAGAGGAAACCAAAAGCAAAGATCTGCCACTTGGTGATCTCTGCGTAATTGCTCTAGCACTTCCAAGGTAAGCTTCATTCTGTAGTGTCAAAGGTAATGTAATAAATACAAAAAGAAAAGGAGAAAAAAAATTGAAAAGAAAACCCCAAACAAACAAACCCTTGGAAGAAATTAGTTATGTTTTTGGCAATGTGTGAATTGTGTTTCTCTGAGTCCAACCCAATAAGGAACACAACCTTTTCCACCACTGAGGACCTGTCCACTGGAAATTAACAACTGGGACAGTTTAGTGCATGCCCGATAAAGTAATTTTCAATCTTAGTTGAAGAAGCTGGGAGAGGCAGTCCTATCTGAAAGAAACATTCAATTACAGCTCCTTTCCAGTGCGGAATCACAGCCTGAAAAGACAAATATATCAACACCAAAAGCTCAAAACCACAACTCCAGCATTATAAAGACTCTTTTTGTGAGCATTTGTACTCTTGTTAGTGCCTCCTAAGAGCAGACACAAGGAAGCAAAACAATTAAAAGAAAAGCAGGCTTAATTCATAGAAATATCAGAGGAAAAAAAAAACTTACCAATATCATGTAAGTCAGGGAGAGAAGCTGCTGGGATGTTCTCAAGCTGAGTCCTCCACGTGACGTTCACCCCCAGGCGGTCCAGGCCCAGGCACTCGACATCGACAGTGGAATCATCACAGACAGAAACCGAGATGGTATTTCCAAACACATTTACCTCAAATTCAAAATTAATGAAACCACTGTTAGTCAACCTCAGAATCTTCTAGTTCTTGCCTTTCCCTATTCAATTGCACTGTGCTATGCTCAAAGGCAATGTTTTCAAAAGGGTCTGTAAAAACAGAAGTAGAAGCAGGAAAAGATAATTTTAGCAGGTCATTTACTCACTGTAAGAAGAGCCAAAGGGTTCTCTTCCATCAAAATATAGTTTTAGTAAATATTGGACTGATGTGATATGAGTTCTATGGCTGCAATTAAGCTGATCTGCCGATGTGGGGTCAGTGAGACTAAACATCCTATTTTCCCAGCCATCCGTACAAGAGTGCTGCCAATCTTGACAGATTTCATGGCATTTTCTGCTCTTCCACCTCTCTCAAACAGGCAAAGTTCCACTTTATATCTCACTTTTGGGGTTTTTTTTAATACAAGAAAAGCCCCAAACCAACCACCAGACCAAAAAACCCAACAACAACAGAGAATAAGGAATTGAAATTACCTGGAGGTGACACAAACCACGAGCCTTCAACTCATCTAAAATAAATATCTGGAATGCCTGGAGTAATCCAGAGTAGTCAGAACTACAAGTCTTCTCAGGAGGCAGTAGTAGTTGGAAGCGTGTTTGAGCTTGGACTGTCTGAAGTAATTGGAGCTCTAAAAAATAAATAGAAAGGGCATTTAGTAGCCTCATTATTTAATGTGAAAATTGACTATCAAAGTTACTTTGAGAAAAGACAACACTGATTTGGCATTTTGATCTTGCATCTATAGCAACTCCCCATTTCTAGGTGAAAGCAGTAGAGTTGTCTGTAGTAAATAATAAACAGCAAGAGACATGGTTGATAAATATATATGTTGTGCATCAGCGAAAAAGCCAGGCGACATGGTTAGTTATATAATAATAAAGAGATACTTTGCATTGGAGCACTAACTCACAGAAGGATAAGGAACAAATTAATTATCGACCTGTCAACCTCTGCTTCTCTCAGACACAATCACGAAAGAACTTCTATTAAAAATGGAATTAAATGGTTAAAGCAATTAATACTAATTCAAATGGGCTTTCAGAAACCTAGCTTGTCAAATAAATTAGGAATGAAGTTTTAGGAGAGAATAAATTTGATTGCATAATAATAGCGTTGACATGGACATCTACAAGGGCCCTCCATTTTTTTGATAGCAAACCAAAGTGATGCAGATCACACAAATTGATGAGACACCTATGAGCTCATCAGCCACAAAATGAAAATCTATTTTGCCCAGTTTTTAGCCAGAATAAAAAAGGTGCAAATTTCTTGTCTCCACTGCAGTTACATGGACCCCAGGCTTCATGGAGGGTTTGTTATCTCAGATTCAGCACAGCAGTCATGCTGTCATGCCACCTCCAAGTGGAGCTGGCTCTTATCCCACCAGCCTGGAGAAGCAGCAGAGCTCTCCCTCATTCAACTCCTCCACAGCCCCTCGCTGCATCACGTACAAGTGTCACTGCTGGAGCACAATTACGTCCCTCGCTTCCGAAACCAGTGAGCATAGGAAAGCCTGGAAAGCATCCAAGGAGAATGGTGGGAGGGACCAGAGGACACAAAAGCTTGCTTCTTCCTGCAAGGCACAAAGCCCTCTATCTATTTAGTTTATCAGAGAGTAGTTAAGAGCTGACTTAACCGCAGTCTCTAAGTGTACACATAAGGAACAGGAAATAAGATGTTTAAGGCTGTGGGTAATTATCCATTGGAACAAATTACAAAGTGTTGTGGTGAATTCTCCATTATCGTGAAGTTAATTCAATCGCCTTCAGATGTGTTGGAAATTTTTTCTCTCTCCTTAAAACCATGCTCATTTCAAACACAAATTACTGTGGGAAGTCATTAAACAGCAGCTTGTATCACATTGCCACACACTCCCCTCTGGCCTTACAAACAGTTGTGCAACTGCCATCAGGCAAACATGAAAGTTACTTCATAACATGCTACAAAAACCTTGCAAACATGTTTACAGACAGACAAAAGTCTCAGTCTGAAATATAATGTTTAAAATCGTTTACATTTGGAATAGAAGACCTGGGGTACAACTGGAAATGTGCCAATACAGCGTTTTTCCAGAATGGGTTTAACCCATTTTGGAGACGAAGAGTAGCTGCAAACTTGGCATGAAGATCTGCATTTCTCAAAGTTCAGCACTGCTGCAAATTACCATTTTGATCAGAATGTATTTCTATTTAAAATAATCGAAAAAGCCAACATTACTATCTGATTACATGACCTCTGAATAGACAACTGAATCTTCCAAGATTTAAAGTAACATTTTTTTTCTTGAAAGAAAAATGGTTTGAAAAATACAAGTCAGCCATCAAAGACAACAATAATCCTAAAGCACGGACCGCTGCAAAAAGATGCAGAAGTAACAGTGACTTGATTATGCAAATAAACAGTCAAGTTCTGCCAGATTCAAACATCTGGTGCTCATCTGTTCGTCCATTACTAAGTGGTTCCATCAGAATCACTTCATGGTGCCCGCAACTTTTAACTTGCAAAGAAAGATCTGCATATAGATTGAATAACTATTTATAGCTATATTATTACAGAAAAGTGGGACTGTTTCTGGCATGAGCTAGCCAAGAGACAGAGATGAAAATGGCAGAAGATGGGACCAATCTACTGCACCTTAATTTAGCAACTCCCATATAACTGTTGTGTCCTATTATTGCCATTCACACAGTAGCTTCCTGATGGAAGCGCGTTTTTGTGTATCTATCGAGGGCCCAGCCGAGACCCATCGACGCTGCTGCCCATCACACTGAAACGACGTGCTGGAAGAGGAGCTGTGGAAGCCCTGGCGACACACCAGCCGGCACTGCTGAATGCTTGAAGCTTGCCCAGGAATGTTTTCACAAAACACAGCTCCGTTGAGAACAGATGAGGCACCGAATGGCAGAGCACATTGCGGACCTTTAGGCACATGAGAAAGGGGATATGTTAGCGGCATACTATGAAGCACTTCTAGTAAAAAGTCCTCATAACCTTCATATCAACAGAGGAAGCCTAGACAGCATTTCCCACTCATCTCAACTTGGATCTGGTTTGATGGCAGCATGGATCAGTTTACTAAAGCTGGTGAAAAGACACATATTGACTTTGATGGGTAGCGCACTGGGTCCAGAAACCTACGTGCATGGTTTCCAAGAACAGATAATTTTAAAACAGTCATGAATAAATTTAAGCAGGAAATGAGGTTTCTAACCATCAGCAGAACAAACATTTACAACAGATATCAAGTGGAAATAGGCAAGACCAAAATAAAAATCTCAATTCCCTTTAGAGTGAAGTTTGAAAACTTTAAGATCAGGAACTCCTGACCGCGGTGTCTTCAACAGCAGGTCCTTAAGGGTAGGATACAGCTTTGGAGCTGACACACAGAATTGACCCTAACAACTCACTCTGCACCAATGTAGTCATTTCAACCCTGCTAGCCTGCCATAACAGACTATTACAGCAGGCTAACTACAATGATAATTAATTTCCACCAATCAGTAAAAACCAACTGCTTCACTCAGTCTTGGCTAAATCCCAACCTAATTACTGAATATGGCGAGAAATAATGAAATGCTTCTGAGTTCTAGAGCTACAAAACATAGGAAGAAAATACAACTTCCTCACTTAGAAATAAATATAAAGAAAAATTGTTCTCTTATCGTACAATTAACTTGCTTGGTGTATGTATAGATCATTTTCCAAATAGCACTGCTCAGGTCAGTCCAAATCTCCCTGATCACTGGAGGAAGGAAAATGCTGCTGATAGTTTAGGTCTGAGCAGCCTCTCTCTCCCCTTCTGATGGAGATATGGAGATTAATTCCTTAACTTAGCAGCCACTTCAGTTAAAGCTTAAAACACTGCAGGATGAATCTGGGATCCAGGGTGCACAGTACATCTTTGCTTTCCAACCCTGGGCATTTCAATGCCAAAATAAAAGGCTTTCATATCTGTCTCTCTGAATTGTCAAATGTTTTGGGTTTTTTTTTTTCCAAGTCTCCTCTATAGCATCTTTTCTGCAATAACTCTGTAAATGGGGCCACTACATTCCTCCTATTTGTTCATTGACTCTGTATCCACTTTCTTTTTCAGTAAAGGTGGAACCCTGGCATCCTTATTTAACAAACTTCTAATAAAGCTCCTGAGATTTTAGGACCAAAAGATATCACTGTAAAAGAGATGGTAATACTTATCCTGACAGAAGTAAATTACATCCACCATTATGTGTCAATAATATTAATATCTCTTAATACAAAGTATATAAAAATCAGTCTATGTCTCTCTATTGCTCTAACTCATTTCTATATCCAGCAAGCCAAATCCAGTCTCAGCTGTATGCTGCTACCGTTTTTTACTGTCTGTTCCAGCAAGAGCTGGTATGTAAACTAGAAAAACAACCAGCCCCCAAATCATGTGTGATAGATGGTTTCCTGCTGTGGTTCACAGGTTTCAGTTCACAACCAGTAACTTGCTCATTTATCCCTCTACAGATGCTGTCCTGTTTGCTAGCATTATCAAGCCTTCACCGTTTTGTTATTCTTCTATTTCTGCCCCAATTTCTCGGTCCTGTAAGAGTGAATCAGAATCCAGCTGAATAGCGACACTTCTTTCATAGGTGTTTCTAAAGATTTCTGTTGGGAAATTACTGTCTCCAGGACCTTCTCTGTCTCAGGTTTTCTCTCTGTCTCCACTCAGAGCTGTGGAAAGTGGGCATGAGGATGGGAGATGCATGTGAGGACTGATAGGATACTTGGCATCATCTCTCCAGTGCATGTCAACTAGAAAAAGTTGGATTCTACCTCCGATGGAAATGATTAAGCTAATGAAAACCTCGTTTCATGCACTGGGCACTATGAAGTTATTACTTGCTGTTTAGAGCTGTTTGTTCTGATGTTGGAGGAGAAGTTTATCATATTTTCCTACCACAACAGCTTCTTTTGCTGATAGAGAAGATCTCCAAGATAGTGAGACAGTACTCCCTTCCCTTTTTCTTAAACAATTATTAGTAGTTCCCAAGACTAGAGGTCTAAGGCTGGATAGACTAGGGGGGGAAATAACTTTTGCTTCTTTATTCTGACACAATAACTAAGTTGTTTAGCATGAAAAAGTTCCATTTCTATTTCAAAATCCAGAAAATTCATTAAAGATTATTTCAGTGGTATTTCTATGCAGAAAATAACAAATTAGCTTTCAGTAAAGCCAGGTTTCCATTGTATTTTCAAAGCAGTTCTCTCTCTCAGCTCAGTCTTTTAAAGAAGAAAGGTCATTAATCATTCAGTCACTGTTTCCTCTAGGAAAAGTACAGCATTACAGGATCCCAAGAAGCATCAGATGTGCATGTAAAATGTAAAATAATCTTAGGGGCATATTTCGGGGTAAACCTACACCCTCCTTAGAACATATTCCATCAATTCCCTTGGAATTTAGGGGGAAATCTAGAAAATGAGCTTTCATGGAGAGAAGGAGATATCAAGGACTTAAAATTTGCAACTAGTTCTGACTTTTTTTCTGGCCTACTAGAAACGCTTCTGCTTTTCCCTGTTCACCTTCAGAGTCTATGGGAAAGTGAACCCGAACTGCTGAGTGCTGGGTGTCGCATTGAGTTCCTCCAGCTGATCCAAGCAAAATAAATATTACACAGCCCCATGTCCCACAGAGATACTAGCCCATAACCTGAAAGCAGGATGGCAGCAGCACTGTACTTGTTAGACTGATCAGCTCTGCTTCTCTGAAGAGCAAGAAACCTGTATTGGACTGCCACGATCACATGGCTGTGCCACCTTAGCTCTGGAGCTCAACTGGCCATGTCCACACAACACTACACTGCACGGGGCAGATACAATCCTGGGGTCTCCCTGGGGCTTCTCATAAAATCCCATCCGCGTAGCTCTCTATTGGTACAAGAGAGTTCAAAGAAAATTATGTTGGTGGTGGTTTCCAAGTTGGCTGAGGAGTTATCTAATTGACTAAAATGCCTTACAGCCAGTTGGGCTGACACAACTGGGAATTTGGTTGGTGAGCATGTGTTGCTCTTTATATAGCACAATCACAAAAGGAAACTAAAGCAATTTCTTACTGTGTGGTCTCGTTTTCCTAAATCTACCAACAGCTCTCATTTAAAAAACCCAAAAGAAATATGGAAACAGTAGTGTCCTGCAGGCACCAGTTGAAGGTTTTCTTTTTACATCTCTAGTTTCCACTGATCATTACACTTCGGAGCATAGCCTTGTAGAAAGTTTAATTTGTTTTGCTTCACTTCAGCAATGGGGCCAGTATTTAGGCCATTGCAAATTAAATTCATCCAAATTTCTCCCATTTGGACATCTCACTGGAAACCATGAGTGAATTCCAGTCCTTCGAAGCTCTGGTCATGCCGGAAATACTCTGTGAATATGTAGTGTTTTGCCACATCCTTTTCACAACTCTGGTCACAAGCCAAGAGTAGGAATGGCAGAAGCATACATTTTTCAAATTTTATTTTAGTCAGTTGAATGACTTTTAATCCCAGAGCCAGCTCAGACTGGAACAGGTTCAGGTTTGCAGCAAGCTGTTCTGATTTAAATTTTAGGGAAGTTTAATAGCTCAACTGCTTTGTTTTAATCAGTTTTATGAATAACAATAAGTCAATGATCCATTTGCTTCCCTTTTCACCCTGACAAAGCACTTGAAGAAAACTGGACAGCATACCAAGGTAGGTCTGCAGTCTGCTACAGCACAAAGATAACCATACCTCTGGAGCAAAAATCTCTGTACAGGTCTGAACAAAGAAGCTTAAATGCGACTCAGTGCTGGAAAAAGTTAGGATCTGGGTCAAGTTCTAGACCTGGGCTTGCTCAGAAGCAACACGCCTCAAGCAGGAACTCACTTGCACACACAGGTCTTCCTCCGCTTACTCGTGTCCCTGGCACCTCTTCTCCATTCTCAAAGACACACCAGCAGCTCTCTTGATCCTGGCTGCACTGCACGGGCGAGAAAGTCCCGTTGTCCCCTTCACACTCTGGGATGTAGCCTTTGCCAGCTTCTCGTAAACCAGTTTTAGACTTCAGCATATTACAGAAACTAGGACCTTTAAAGAGAGAAATTCATTGCAAGATAGAGAGCAGAAGACAACATCTGCAGAAATTAACTATACTAATGGACAGAATTGTCCTAAACAGCAGTGCTCTTGGTCTGGTTTTGTATAAGGAAGAAAGGTGAGTGTTCATGAAACCATAAATAATTTGAATTATTAGAGAAACTTGGTATTTTATTTCCACTAGAAAAAAAAACATAATAAAGTGCAGTTTATATGGGTTTGCACCAATCAAACAGTGGAAAGAATACCGATATTTATTTTGTATTAACATCTTTTTTTGCCATAAATTTGGTAGTGTATCATTTAGATGCTGATATTTTAACTTTTAAAAAAATCAAATTAATCTTTTTAATAAGGATTTTTGAGCGAGGTCATTTTAAGTGTAGCAATTCAATTATTTACATTTTAAAATATTTGAAATGTTCCAGTTTAATACCTTCAAAAATGGAAAAAAACCAACCATGGAACAGCAATATTTATGGTCTCCCACAAACAAACGGGAACACGAGCACGCGGAACCACCCCCTGACAAGAAGATCCAAAAAGTTCAGTCCAAACTTGAGACAAAGTTGGTTCTTACTAATTTTGTTCATCTTCTTGTAAATCTGTTTAATGAAACATTACACAAATAATTCCTCAGTGAACGTGCAGTTACTTATTCCCCATAAGGCCTGTTGCAGGTCTTCATGGACTTCTATCTTTAGCCCATATTAGCCCAAAAGAAAGCAGACTTGCTGCAGTTGAAAGTACTGTCTAACTCACTGTCCTCTCCTGAGGAATTGTTTACTCTGTTAACAGATGTTCTGGGAGAAGGTTTGCCTGAAGCCAGCATATTATTCTCCCAGATTTTCTATGGAAGGTGGCAAGCAGAAAATCACTAACTAAAGAACTGAAGAAAGAAGCAGAGCAGAACTATGGGCTCTTGTGCTGCCTGTACTCTTCAGAAAAGCAGAGCCAGTGCACGGGCTCCAATAGGGCATCTTAATCTGTATGGGCAGGGATTCTTCAGTTTTTAGGATCAACTACCTCGTCAACATCACAGTTCTCTGTCTTTATTTGAAGACAATACAAAGGTATTACAGACCTAATCGCATTCCATGGTGCAGTTGTGGACCATGCAAAAATGGACTCACTGACTGCATGTGGCCCAGTTCCCACAGTTCAGGACTCACTGCCTTAGAAAACTCATCCACAAGCCCAAACACTTTTCTATGGTGGTAAGAAATGGAAGATAAAAGAAATGCATAGAAGCCTGTTCATCAGTTTGTCTAGACTCGTTTATTTCTGGTGTTGTGAAAGTAAAGGATAACTATTTTCAGACAGCCCTTCAGTGTTGACGAGCTTGTATGTACCGTATCACTGAGGAATTAAACTGTAAGCCCCCTCTGTTTCACAGGCATCATTCTGAAAAGGAAAGTCCATATGCCACAAAGCACAAGGCATTGCCACTAGTGCCACAGGCCGTGGGTAAAGCGTTACTCACACTCAGGATTGCCATCCAAGTCTTGGCTGCCACGCTGAAACAATTCTCCTGACACAGGGTCTACACACCAAATATCCGTGTTGGATCTCTGTAGCACAGCGTATTCTCCTGTCTACAAATAATCAATTACATGTCATTGCCGAGCAATGTAGATCAATACAGACATGCCACAATACATAACCCAAAGGTTGGTTAAAATATTTAATTATATTCACATTCTTCCATTCATACAACACGTTGAAAAGAAACACAAATTGTTAAAAAACAGTCTACCTAATTTAATACACAGACCAGGCCATGAGAGAAGCAGTATGCAGACTGAAAGCCCTTTGAGATGAAGTTCTGGTATAACCTTGGTTTGAAATATCTGTTCCTTGCCCATCTCAGGGCTCTATCCTGCTCACTGCCATGTTTTGAGAGCATCATGGATCCTCTTTTGGGATACCTGCATCCAACTCCCTCTCATCCTGATATTCCCTCACAGCTCAGGAAGAAAGAGCCCCCAGTGTCAGTCAATTAAGTTGTGCCTGTTGAGCACAGCCCTGCAAAAGCACTAGGCAGAGCCACCCTGTGGGAGGGCAGCGCAGGCAGGGACAGAGCATCCTATTCCCCATCTTCATCTCAAAACTATTTAAATTCTGCCTTATGGAGGGCAACGCCTGCTGTTTGTTTTGTCTTACGCTTTTCTTTCAGGTTAACAGGAATGAACAAGGGATGCTTAAGGAGCATAGACTGAAACGGTACAGGCCTTTGGCATGGTGTAAGCAAAAGCAGGGAGGTTTTGTTTCTTCCTCCCTCAGCCATGTTAAATCACCTCAAGGCAGTAGGGGATGAACAGATCAGCTGTAGAGATGTCCAGCTTTTAACCGCTCTGTCTCCAGCTGGAAATTAAGGCATTGGTTCGAGATCGCTGGCATGATGTCTGGCCTGTAAGAGGGAAAAATACATGCATGTTAAAATAAAATCAAGTGCTCCAGCCTAAGCTAGAGAAAGGGGTACACCATCTCTGCGCTCGGCTCTGATCCAGCCTCAGGCAGAGAATTCCTGACCAGCATTTGATAACCACAGAATCACAGGATGGGGCCAACAGCAGCAGTGGGTCCATTCTTAAATCATGCAAGCCAAAATCACATATAGCGAAATTAAATGAAACAACAGAACAAGCATAAAAAAAGTTTTCTTTTCTTGCAATGGTTAGAAACAAGACTTGCTTCACGCTTATCGTACTAGAATTTTCAGTAAATATTAAAATTGTTAGAATAGGTAAAGACAAATATTTAGGAAGAAAAACCAACTGACATTTGGGAAGTTCTGCTGAGCGTGAGACCAAGGAATCCACGACATAACGTCCTCTCTCATCCACGCACCAACAATGACCTGCCCAGGGAAGAAAAGCAGCTTTATTTTAGATGTGGTACTGAAGTATGCTTTGTTGCATACTGGGAAGATTTTCATCCTCAGCAGCACTATATAGAAAATGGTGAGCAAATCTAAGTCACAGCTAACTCTGCTATCCAGAGATAAGTAAATCACACCTGAGAGCCATGGTGAGAATGGAAATGTAGCAGCTGTGGTGAGACTCTTCCACTGCAGCCCTATCCTGCAGCATATCATCTACTGCCAGCTGTGGTATCATCCACAAACTTGCTGAGAGTGCACTCCATCTCCTCGTCCTGGCCATTAATGAAGGCATTAAGCAATACCAGCCCCTGAACTGACCCCCGAGGCATACTGCTAGCAGCGAGCAACTGAACATCGACTGATTTTTGAGCCCCAAGGAGCTGCCACTTCAGTCCTTCACTCCAGTCAATTTTCCACCCACCTTGTAGACCACTTCACCTCTCTCCAGTTTGGCTACAAGAATACAGGTTTCCTATCTTTTTATCAGAATTCTGCTTAGCTTTTCTCTGTTCAGACAGCCCAGAGTATCTTATTAGCAATTGCTCACCTGTGCTCTCATAACACTGAGTTGGCTCCCAGTTTCCCAGCCCATCACACTGTGGGATGTAAGGGAGAAATCCCAGCTGAGTTGCTTCCCCAGCAGAATGTTTTGAGGTAAAGTGACTCTGCCAGTAGAAATGCAAGACTATAAAAGATAAGTAAAAGGAAGTTATTAGTGGCCAATACAAGATATTTTAAATGCACATGTTTGCAAACACCTGAATGTTCCCTGCATCTTAGAAGGCAAATTAACACATGTTGCAAGTACATAAAGGCTGGTAAGGGTCCAGATCTTATATGTATTGTGTCATACATAGAAGACAACTGAAATCAGCTCTTAGGTTGGCAGGTTAATTACACTGATTAATTACACATGTTGAGTTGCAGCTGGTTTTCAGCAAACTTGAATTTGACAGAGAGTACTCTTGCACGGATCCTGGGCATTAATCCATTTAATTAAGCTTTCCTCTCTCTCTCACCTACCTGACTGTGCAGCCAGCTGGAGAGCATAGTCACTGCCCGATAACAGCTTTTCAGAGACCACCACCTCTGCCTCGTAGGGCTGAGCAGAACGTAGGAGGTCGTTGTCTGTGAGCTGTATTCCCTTTGCCATCAAGAAGCTTTCTCCAAAAGGGAAGTGGGAACTATTTGATGCTAGGATGAGCTGCTCTGCCTCCTCCATAAATTTCATGGCTTTCTGCTTAACAACTTCACATATACCAGGACCTGTAGAACCAGAGGGTATTTTAATGCCTTTCACCTAAATCCAATAAAGACTTGCATGTGAAACACTGGTCTTTTAATTAGCATCTTCTGTTTCCTCCTGCACTTGCTCAGTTTGGAATTGCTTGACAAAGCAGGCAAATGAGACTCATCAACACTTAACTATAAAACCACAAGAGTCCAAGGGTACCAGGAATCACCCAAATATTCTCCAAGTCTTGGGCCAAAGCCTTGACAATTTTAAGTTACCTCCTCCTCATTGATTACAACTTGAGTTATATGTCTCTACAGAACTGTCCCTCAGTCATAAAAAAGCAGATCATCAGAAAAGAGGGTGAGAAAGGAAACCAAAGGTATATCCTTTGGGTCCAGAGTGGCAGCTGGCACTTGGCCTGTCCTCTCCATACATCTACTGACTTAGATATGGCAGTTCAACACACCAAACCAGCTCAGTGAAAGCTTCTCTGCTAAAATAACTCTCTGCTGATCTGCTTTGTCCCCTTTATTGCCCATTTGCCCATGAGACTGGCACCTCCAGCTCTCCTTGCCCATTTGGAAGTTTGCCATTCATTGTCCTGTCTCTTCCTCCCAGCTCAAAAATTACTATGTGATGAGAATGGGTTTAGTGACTACATTTATAATATAGGTCATCTGCTGAAGGAACCCCAAAGAGGGCCCAACAGCTTTGGTGGAGGTGTCTAGACAGAGACTACCAATCTTCAGTGCTGGCCTCACTCTTCTGCTAGTGACTTCTAGGGAATGCCTTTTACTCTTGACTACATAGTAAGAAACAGTAAAGAAAATTCCTCTTGCCTCTTTTTAAGGCATTCTTGAAAGTTATTTACATCACAGCGTAATCGTAAATTTTCCATACAACTCTTCACACCTTGTTTCTAACATCAAAGTGTCCTTTGCCATCTGGCAAAATCAAAAGCAGTTTATCTTCTGCAAAAGAGTTATCAGTTATCTTCTGCAAAAGCATTGAATGTACAAATTCTATATTATAAAATCTACACAAACTTCACATGGAACTTTAGTCCTCCTTATTCCCAAAGCTGAGACACCACTTATTTACCAAAAACAAGTTACTCCACCTCTGATGGCCAGTGGCAATGGCAGTATTGATGATCTTTCTGATAAGTCATTGTCTCCTGCCTCACAGCACTTGAAAGGACTTTCCTCTTGTGGCATAAAAGCAAAGACCAGAAACACACTACTTTTGTGCCAGAAATGCTGTTACTTACATGCTGGGACCTGGTTCGCTTCTACCTTTGTTCCTTGCAGTTCCTCTCCTTTGCTATCAACACACCAACAATCACGAAGCTCAAAGTGGCTTAATGGAGCGCTGAAATCAGTATAGGGTCCTGGGTAATAGGTCAGCTGCTCATTCAGAAGCTGCCAGAACGTATATGGATCCAGTAAAATGTTCTCGGATGCATAGGTCACGTTTCCTTCCAGCACTTCAGGTGGGAGATCAGTGAAGGAAGAATACGTGGTAAATACTGGGAAGACATTCTGATGCCCAGCCTCATACAAGGCTTTAACAAAAGCTGAAAAGCCTTTGGAAGATGCCTCTTTATATCCCGTTATGACGTTAAACAGATTAGCAACGGGCAGGGTTTTGCCTTCATTGTTCTCCGCGATCCACCTTTCGTACCACTCCAAGGCTTGCTCGGAAGGGCCGCTGCACTGCACCTGCCTCCAGGCACCCTCAGCATCGCACTGCGGGAGGTGAACGCTGGAGAGCTGCGATGGAGCACTTGGAGCTGACAACAGGAGTTTCACAGCCTTCAGAAACTCCTGACCAGCTGTTACTTGGCAAGCGCTTGGGCCTGGGGAACAGAAAAACAGGCACAGCACAGCTTATGGATGCACTGAAGACACACAATACCCTCTGCCCCCCTGGTACTATAAACACCGTTATCAAAACTTGGCCACTTACCCCAACACTAACAACAACATTTCAGGCCTGTTATTAAGAGGGCCAATGTTACTAAGTTCCCATGCTGAACCAGAGTAAGATTTTTGATGTATGAAAGTTATATATAGACA